AACATGTAGAGACACAAGATCTATGATAAGAAATTTTTTGGATTGTCATTCTGACCTCCAAACAAGTTATGTTATTAGAAGAGATGGAATAAAACACTGGAACAGTTACATTTCAGGGGTGGCAGACGGATTGTTCTCATGGACATTCACCTGAAGTGAAGATAAGTAATCTCTGGCATTAGTTTATGTGCCTAGAAATCTTTTGGAGGAGAACAACATTTTATACACAGTGTCTCTTCCAGAAGATGCATCATAGCAACGTCACAATGGATACATACATACATACTTTTCTTTCCCTCTATTTACCAATGTGATTTAAGAAGATTAATCAGCCAAACAAAGGGGTAAGAACCAACTGTGTAATAAAGAACATGAAGACACTTGTTATTGTTGTTTGCTTTTGTAGCAGAATCATTCAACTCTAGAGATATTTTTAAATAGTTACTTTGATTTTTATCTTCTGATCTGCCACAAATTCTGCATATTTATTAAATACATATAGCCAATCAGTTTTGTTTCTGAGAAATGTTTTTTGACCTAGTTATAAAGGGGGGAAATTAATTCACTGTCCAATAGGCATAAACAACACAACTATTTAAATTCTTTCTGCAAAGTTAGGCAAATCAGAATCTCATTACTGGATCTAAAACTGCATGTTAAATAATTCCATTCAGATTCTCTGTGCAGCATTAAATCTGTGACTTGCATATAATGTTTGGTTATAAAACTGATCAGTTTATCCCTAGAGTTATAGTAAATGTGGTGAGACATTCATTTTTATACTTAACATTATAAGTAATGCTTAGTAACATCACTAGTATGAATAAGTCATTGAAAACAACCTTTGTCCCCTTCTCAACTTTACTTTTTCTCATGCTGTGCCATATGTTTGAAAAACCCTCTCCTTCCAAATGACCTCTCTTTCTCCTCCTTCAGATCTCTATCCATGGGCCTGATTTTCCATTGCATTCACTCTCATCCACTAGCATTTTCTACCCATTTCACATTAATTTTGCAGTGGCGTAAATGACTACACAAGATTCAGGACTACGGATTATCAGGCCATATGCGTTTAACAGAGGCTTCCATTGCTGATAAACATCAACTGCTTGCTAGGGTTACCATATGTCTGTATTTTCCCAGACATGTCTGGCTTTTTGGTTCTTAAATTGCTGCCCGGGAGGAATTTTTAGATATCTAAAAATGCCCGGGATTTTGCCATTATTATTTTTCCCCAAAGAAGTTTTGACCATTCAAGAAAGAGAGTGAATGTTGATCATTCGAGAAAAAAAGTGAATGTTGATCACTCGAGAGAGTGCCCACTTTCCCCCCCCCTAGCTCCCAGTGCTTGCGTCGCAGAACAGCTGTTTCGCGCAGCTGGGAGGGAGGATGGGGAACGTGGTGCACTCAGGAGGCGGGGCTGGGGCGGGGATTTGGGGAAGGGGTTAGAATGGGGGTGGGGAAGGGGTGGAGTTGGGGCAATGCTGGGGGTGGGGGGGGCGTGAGCAAATCCCCCCCCCTTCTGTGGAGTGTGCTCTTTGTTGAATGTTCAAATATGATAACCCTACTGCCTGCTCCCCTCCTTATGATTTATCTTTAATTAAACACTGTGGAGCAGGATCCAACCATGTGCTTTGTAAAGCACATTCAAAGCAGTATTATGTAAGTATTGCAAAATAAAATGAATAAACTAATAATTAAAGGAAGTAACTAATATGTACTTTCATGACTGGAGGATTGAACAAGTAAGGTGTAAGAGCTGGTACAGAATAGCAGACTCTGAGATCCTGTAGAGGAGTACAGTAAGTCTTCTGTTGACTCACCCTAGGCTATGCTAAAACCCTATGTTAAAATTCTAAGTGGTCACTACTGAGTTGTGCTGGCAGACTGGTTCAATTAACTCCAACCATGATATAAAGCAGGGTGGGAGGACCTTTTCGGGATAGAAGGAACTATGGAGCTGGGAGAGAGAAGATCCTTAAGAGAACCCTAGGAACAATCAAACTGTGGTTGATACAGTGTTATTGCTTTTGTTTTACCAGTAGATCCAAGTGAAAATTTTTATTTGATTTTTTAAAATTTGTTTTTGGCTGAAAAATGTTGATTAGGTTGACAGAAACATTTAGTGAATTTGTCAATTTCAATTAATTGTTTTGGGTAAAACGAAAAAGGGGGAAAAACTTCAGAAATATCAGACTGAATTATTTGGACATTATCAAAATGAAATATTTCAATTTTTCTTGCTAGAATCACAAGGGGATTCAGGAGCTATTAACAAGACAGTGGAAGATGAGGACTTTCTGCCCAGTAGCTCCATTGTAAGAGCACTCACCTGGGATGTAGGAGACCCAGGTTTGAATCCCTACCCTATATCAGTGACTTGAAGTCAGGCTGCCTCTACCCCAGATGAGTGCCCTAACCACAAGACACTTGGCTATTCTACAGTGAGTCTCAATGAATCTCTTCTGTTGAATCAAAATACTTGAATAGTCATTGGGCTAGAGAGAAAGAGTGGGAATGACTCATAATTATTGCATGCCCTCCGGAAGGGGAACACCTGTGTTTCATCTTGGCTTCAATTACTGTTTAAAGATTTATGCAAAGTGTAACAGCATTAGCACAAGAGTTTGAGAGCACCTTACCTTAGAATACTCAATAGCCTAGTGGTTAGAGCACACACCTGGAAATGGGGAGACATGGGTTCAAGACCCCGCTTCCAAAAGGGGGATTCAAACTTGGGCCTCATTGCAGTTGGAGTTAATTACACTATAACAGGGTTCAAAAAAGAACTAGATACATTCAAGGAAGATAGGTCCATCAATGGTTATTAGCCAGGATGGGCAGCGATGGGCAGAAGCTGGGAATGGGCGACAGGGGATGGATCACTTGATTACCTGTTCTGTTCATTCCCTCTGGGGCACCTGGCATTGGGCACTGTTCGAAGACAGGATACTGGGCTAGATGGACCTTTGGTATGATCCAGTTTGTCCTTTCTTATGTTTTTACACCAATCTGCCTGCACAACTCTGCAGTGACCACCCTGAAGTTTAACATAGGGGTTTAGCACAGTCTAGGGTGAGTCAACAGAAGAGCTCTGCATTTATATACAAGCACATAGAGTATGTCTACAGTGCAACTGAAAACCTGTGGCTGGCTGGCTGATTTGGGCTCGCAGGGCTCAGGCTAAGGGTCTATTTAACTGTAGTGTAGATGTTTGGGCTCAGGTTGGAGTGGGTTTTTAATTGCAGTGTAGACATACACTTAGAGTCTGCTATTCCATAATAGCTCTTAACCTGGACATCTCAGGTGAGTGCCCTAATCATTGGGCTATTTGGTATAATAAGGGCTCTTCAGTTTTGTGACTCTAGCCTTTCATTTCCTTTGCTTTTATTTAAAAAGGTCAAAATACCCAACACAGAACATTTCATTTCAGGTTGAACAAAGCATTTAGTTCATCCTGAAACATTTTTTCCCCAACTTTTTTCAGTTCACCAAAATGTTGAAAAGAACTCAGTTTCAGTTGAAATCAAAACAATCCTCCCCACCCCACCCCCTTGCTTTTTGGAACTGATTTTTGTTGTTGTTGTTCACTGGCAGTTATTTGCACAGCTCTAGTTACCAATAAAGCCAACCCCCCAGAAAGGGGGTTAGTTTGGACAAGAACTCAGTATGCGTGTGCACTTGTAAAGGATCCAGCAGGGATCCAGCCCGTGCCAGCATTCGCTGTATTTGTACTAAACTTGCAGTCTTCACAGGGATTTACGTGTTTCAAAAGGGTAGAACAAGTCTCATGTATTGAGATATTAAGTGTGTATCTTATAATAGACTATGATGGTACTACAGAGACAGGCCATTGATTTCCTTATAATTAAACCAGGCATTGACCTTTTGTTTTTAATCTTTCGTATGTGTGTTCATTTTGAGTCTAATCCAAAACTCACTGAAGTGGGAGACTTTCTAGTGGCTTCAATGCGCTTTGAATCTGGCCCTAAATCTTTCATTTTATCTACATACATATCTCACAGAGATTGTTAGTTTCTCAAGATGGTTTCATAGAGGATAACCTCAGAAAAATGGAACTACTAACACAAAGTTACTGGTATTCACAGGTCAGATGAAGTACTAAATATTAAAACAGTCAGTCAAAGATTCAGTCAGATATGTTATATGGGCAGTACAGATCTTAAGTATAAAACCACGATGTACCTCAGAGTATGAGCTCATTCCATTACTTTTTAGGAAATGGTGTGAACTCTCAAGATCCAAGAAGTGAAAAATAATGTTAGTGATTTAATTATGAATTTTGGTGAAAAAAGATACTGGGGAATCTTTAATATACGTTTTTTTAATATACGTTTTTAATATACGTTTTCAAACTCATTATCATTTCTCTGAGTCTCAACTGTTACTGATAGTGTTCTTTTTAGTTATCCTCATTTCCTTTTTTGAGAAGGTCATGTTTTTTCTCCTCAATATTTTTTGTTAAGCTTCAATGAACTATAATCGAGTTGCAGTCAAGTTACCAAATTCAGAAGTTTGATCTCAACAACTGATTTTTTTTAAATAAAAAAGGGGTGGAGCTTTGAGAAGAAGCTACTGCCAGGATACTAAATCCATCACAAATTTGCAATATACAAACAGTCTGACATACAATAGGTAAGATGTAACACTGGATTTTCAGTAGGTGAGCTATCACAGTTGAGAGCTATTTATACTGGTGTTTGTCCCTCTCTCAGCTAGTTTAAGTTTTCTTTTGTGGCAGTTGCCTCTTGTCTGTTGTAGAAAAGTTCAATCTTAAATTTAATAAAGTATGTAACACCTCCCCCCAACCCGCCAATCCTCTAAAGGTTTCAGGGGAGGGGAAAAAAGACACATTCCTTGTCAGTGTGTCAGAATAAATAACTTTTGAAAAATCTCATATGCTCCAGCATTGACAAGTATATGTCACCTGAACATCAAAGATGGTCTCACAAATGGCTATAACACTAAATAGAACTTACTTGCTGTTTTTGCAGCTTTAGAAATCTTCTCTGCAAGGGAAAAATACATGACATGTAGACACTAAATGCAAGACAATAAAATAACTTAATAGTAACTGTCAATCTCTACATGTTAATACAGACTCGAAAAACCTCAGCAATCCCAGCAGATGAATTCATTATAAGTGGTGATTACTATGTGCCCTTGAATATCTTCTGGTGATAATGTGATTGGATCAACCCTTTTTATACAGGAAAACATCTGAGAAATTACTGCAATCTACCACAGTAGGAGCAAAGGATAAATTATTTGAAAAATGCTTCCTTCAATAGAGATGGTAGTATAATTTGTTTGTATAAAGGATTTTTCTATCATGCTTAGTAATAATTTAAGTTTTCTCTGAGATTCGACCTCGACTGGGCAGCAAGCATAAATTTCTTTGACATGAGGACTTTAAGACCTCCCAAAATTGTAAAACAAAGATACAAGACTTGTTATTCTACTCCTGAAATGAAGGCTGCTTGTGAAGCTACCTTTCTATTGCTAAATATATTTGTTTTACCTAGAAAAGAATCACTCTTCCCATTAGTCTGAACATTGAAAAAATGTATGTTATATGTAGCTATTATCAGAGTTCATGGTCTCACTGTTGTAATCTCACCCTCCGTTTCTCCCTCACTGTATTGTTGCATTATTTGTAAATAATTAGAGTAAAATAATTATAATATAACAATGACCTATACAGTTGTTTAGCTTTTCAAACTCAATTGTAAATGTTAACACCTACAGGACAGTCTTATAAAATAAATGAAATAGTCCCAGTGACAAACTGGGACCTGGAGAGTTCTGAGTTTTCAGTAGTATTTGACTCTAGGTGTGTGTCTGAACTTCCCTGCTTGTGCCTATTTCTGTATAGATTGAGCAAAAACTACAGAGCCAAATATTCCTGAACTTTATGGAAGATCATCTTTGACATTTAGACAGGCCCATATCTACTGATATAATTTTTTTTAAATAATTGGTGTGCAGGTTTACTAAGGAATATAAGTTATTGTCTACTGCGAGTATCAATATTGCTTTTGCTTAGCAGGGTTCTGCTTAAATCCTTGTATATATGAATGTTCTAAAATTCAAGATATATACGGATTTTAAAATTGCTTATTGCTCTTTATCTGATTGCATTATAATATCAAGAAACAGATGACAGATTCAAATCCAATTCTAAGAACATGAAACTACTCTATTTAAGCTTTAGAGGCCAACAGAAGATTTCTTATTAAATTTTTTACATTATCCCAGAATGCTTAAATACTTTTCAGCTTTGATTATTCCAGTACAAAGTACTAGTATTTAATACACTGGGCTTAATGTATGAGCCTTAACTGGAAATACATAGGAAGCAGAACTGAAGCTCAAACTCATTATACGATCTTAGATTTGGTCTCAGATTTTAAATTCTTAGAGTTCAGCTAATACTGAAATACAAAACTGACAAATGTTTGTCTATAGTTCACTTTGATGTTATTTATAAAACCTTTATTTGTTGTCTGCAAATACACCAACAAACATTTGTGTTCACAAAAACAGTGGAAAGAGACAACGTAAAATACTTTTGTGATTATCTGTTTGTATTTATGGAAATATATTTGCACAGCCATCCTGAGACCTCTTTAAGGGCTAGGATTATCGAATCAGAGAGCAATAATATCATGTGACTAAACTGATCTATCACATAATGTAAACAAAGTGGTTACTAGAAGAAATAATCGTAGTAAATAAATTTTTGCATTATCCATAGTCAATGTAATTTTTGTGTAAGTGAGGGCTGTGGGCCAGGGCTCCAAATCTAGGGGCTTTTTAATACATTGACATGTTTTTTATCTTGAATTTGGAATGTTTCCCGATTTTATAATAATAATGAGTTTTTCCTGTTGAAGCATGTGGTTTGGTTTTACAAGACATAAGAAATAAAAAAAAATCATTAATGTCATTACATATAACTATGTTAAAAGAATAAGAAATTTCAAAAACCAAAGTCAGAAAGTGCCAGAAGTAAGGTAGCTTGTCCAACTTTCATTTGTCCCCCTGGTGTGCCTGCATTATGGTGCAGTCTTTAATTACATGCTCACATACTATTTTTTCTACAGGACCCCCTGCCTCATTCAGTGCACAGAAGGGATGCTGCTCAATTAATCAATATTTTCTCTCTCTCTTCCTTGTTTGGTATGTGACTGATGCCCCGATTTACTGCATGGTTTTCAACCCCTGTTCTGAAGATAGAAATATTAATTTATCATAAGTTTTTCTATAGTGCTCATCACGATAGTATTTAAGTCTTTCACAAATATTAATGAATTTATTTTCATACATCTCTGTGAAATGATGGGGAGCTGAGGCAAAGAGAGATTAAAGTCAAATCTCCTCCAATTTTCCCCTGCCCAATCTGAGTTTTCAGAGTACTTAGCATTATATAGCACCTCATATGTTCAAAGCACAACTCCCATTGACTTCATCTGTGAGCAGTCAGCACTTTTGCAAACCAGACCCGTAGGTCTTAGGCACCCAGAGAATGAGGAACACACAACTACTATCAATCTGGGAAAAGTTTAGTTTAAGTGACTTGCCCAGCATCACATCGGAACTCTGTAGCAGTGACAGAAGCCAGTTCTCCAGGACAGCATTCAGCTGCCTTAATCATGAGACTGTCCTTTCTCTTCCTGCAGTCCCCTTCCTTATTCACTACACACCTTCCAACATCTGCAACAAATACAGGTCCGAGAGGAAACAGTCTCCTTGACTATACAACCCTGATTCCCTCCCAGAGCATAGTCCAGGAGGCAGAGGTCCTGTCAAAAAATGAGTATGTAATCATGTACTTAATGTATATGTAATGAGTATGTAATCACGTATCATAAGGCATATGTACGAGTGAGCTGAATTAATATTGCAGAGTCAATTTTAATTCTAGCCTAAGATCTCTCTAAACAGCGTGGCTGTGCAGCAGCCTATTAAGCGCCATGCAGGCACCCAGGGCTGCGGCAGGGAGAGATGCCTCTCCCCCAGCCCCAGACTTGCCACGGTGAGGAGAGGTTCCCCTCCCCTGGCCTCAGCCTAGCCCAGCCATGGAGCTGCAGTGGCGGGGAGAGGCGCCTCTCCCTCCCAGCACAGTTGCTGCTGAGGGGAGAGAGAGCTGGGGTGGGGTGGGGGGGAAGCCTCTCTCCCAGGGACAGCCTGCACCCCAAACCCCTTATCCCCAGCCCCACCACAGAGCTCTCCCCACCCCAACCCTCTGCCCCAGCCCTGAGCCCCTTATTCCCGGGGCAAACTGAAGAAAAATTCGATCACCTGGGACTGGTCCTGCTTTGAGCAGGGGGTTGGACTAGATGATCTCCTGAGGTCCCTTCCAATCTTGATATTCTATGATTCATCCCGAGACCTGACACCCACAGGAGCCATCGTCAGTGCTGGAACCTTTATATCCACCAAACAGACCTCTGCCATTTGAGCTAACAGAGTAAGTGATAGCAGTAATAGGGTGTCATCCTCTGTGTGGTTCAGCACTAGATGGGGAGGAGACTCATACTTTGCCAGTGGCTTTCACAAAGATTTGCTGGCAGCAGAAGAATGGGGAGACTCAGGAATCTCGACTCCATTCCAACAATGGATCCTCTTCCCACTGACATTCTCCATCACCTGCCTGGTCTCAGTCTCTGCTCCTCAGACTTCTCAACCCAGTCCCAGTCCTTGCACAGGGAGTCCTATTTATACTCCTCTGGACTCTCCACCACCTCTTTCTTGGCTCCTCCTCCTAGTCTTTGCCTAGTTAATCCCAGTTCTTCATCAAATCTCAGGATTCCCTCTCTCCCACCAACTGGCTCCCAGGCCCTCTTGCCCAGCTCCCACTCCCAGTTTCCTTGCCAAGAGAGTCCCAGTCTCCCCCATCCCAATTCCTAGTCTCAGTTTCTGGATCCAGCACAGCCCACAGCAGAGCCCAGAGCTGCAATTGCAAGGAAATCCTGCTCAGCTCTAAGATAAAGAATGCCCAGTGTGGACAGAATCTTCAGGGAACTTAGTTTCTAACATTCAAGAAGTTTCTATTGAGCTGTGTGAACTAAATTTTCCCCCAAAGGCTTGTAACTTGGCCAAATTTGGGTGGATGTTCACATAGATGGCAAAAGACATCCCTGACATGAAACTCTCACTCCCTGCTAAATATCAAGTCCCTGCTTGAAAGCATGGGGATACAAGTGCTTTTCAAAGGATTCAACATGGGCAAACCAGTGTATTTCCCTAGCCACATTCTTAGAAATGGCTGAACCAATTTTGGCTGAAGTTTTTCACAAAAATATAGCCTGAATCAGGCATGGAGCATTAAAATTTTTAACCCAAATGGTTAAAGTTTGGCAAAGTTATAAGCAACTGAAAACAGGGTCTTATAATGGGAAGTGTCAGGCAACGTTAATAACTGGCAGCACTATGAGCACTACCTATATTTACGTGTTGAGCTGCAAAAGTGAGCATCAAATAATGAGGCCTGTTTTGCAACACAGATTTTATCTCCTGAATTTCTGCATCTCTTATTCAACTACAGAATTAGCAGGAGTTACAGTCTGTTTGTTGAGCCCAGGACTCACCATTCCCAATGAAAGAAGAACAGATATATTCTTATGTGAAAGCCGATCAGTCCTGATGCAGCAAAGCATTTATACATGTGCTTAATTTTAAGCTTCTGAGTAGTCACATGGAAGCGGACCAGCATTCCATGTGCTTGCTTTTAGTTTGTTTTGCTTTTCCTTATTGTTCATTTTGTGTTCACTTGTCTTGCACATTTTGTTATAATTAAAAATATTTGACCTCAATTATAGACACCACAGGGTGTTTTAAACAACTTGGGCCAAATGTTGTTAGCAGTTAAAGTGGGGCAACCTCTTTGAAGTCCACAAAGTACAACTCAAGGTGGATTTGACTCCACAGTCTCTACTTCAGACAGCTATTACTCTCTAGTGAGATTAAAGGCTTATATCCTCAACTGACATGAATCAGTGTAACTCCACTAAACTCACATGCACTGATTTACAGCAGTCAAGGATCTGGCCACAAGTAGAACCAATTGATGACCTGTATTGTCATAGCACTTGTGAACCACAGCCATGGTCCAGGACCCCACCATACTAGGTGCTGTACAAACTACGAATAAAAAGCTGGTCCCTATCCCAAAGAGCTTACATGACAAGACACTGTAGGCAGACTTCTACTGAAATATCCCACCCTTCTTTACATTGTTTGCTTTACAGGGATAGATCCCCATCTTGAGAAACCAGGTGAATTGGACAGATGTTTGCTCATTCACTTGTGCTATTGAACAGATTTCCCAGGAGGAACGTATTTTTGTTCTAAATCACACATCTCCAACTTCATAACAGACCACTTGGTCTAAAAGGTAACTAGCTGATAATATGTTTGGGTTAAGGACAGAGATACAGTTCAAATACAGCAGTCTACAAATACATAAATATGGTCCTGATTCTGTCAGCTCTCCCCTTGTGAAGCTCCGGTTGACTTTAATGAGAATTGTGCACATAAAGAGCTTGCAGGGTTGGGCTCTCTTTAAAAATATAAGACTAAGGAAATATTGATTACCTGTTGTCAGGTTGTGCTGTCTTAGAATTTCTTTTACTGTTGGCATTGCTAAAGAAACACATTAGATACTAAGTAATGAAGTTTTAGCATTTAGGTAAAAACACACAATTGATAGGTTTTGAACTGGTTAACACTTTACAGTTTATAGAAACAAAACAGATCAAAGTGGATTTTGCAAACAAACTTTTTAAAAAGGGAAATTTCAGAACAAGGAAAACTGTGCTTCTGGATGTTAGTTTAAGAAACCTGCTTTATTAAAATATTACTAATAGCTGTCTTCAAACTGACCATTTGAATCCTCAAAAAATATGCCCCATCATTTTGTTTGGACAGATCTCTCTCTGATTTTTGTGGATCAGTGTGTGAAGATCTGGCTCTAGGCGGGCCTTCCAGATCTGCACTTCTATGAAAAATTATCTCTGTTTAACTAGCACGAATATCCATAAATTGGTCTCCATATATGTGGTTTTATGCCTTTCAGTACCTTAGTCTGTCTGTCCAATGCTACTAATTATTTTACTTGGCATTACGTAAACCATCATTTCAGCTACAAATGACTATAGTGTTTGGTTGAACAAACCAGTGTTTGGTTGAAACTGTGGAGCCCAAACAGCTTAGCCAGCAGGTATGTGATCAGGAAATGTTTTACATGAATGATAATTATCTCGAATTGCAAATGCAGTCACCACAAAATATACAGGTCAGCAATTCAAAATATCCCATGCACTGAGGAGATGGAACCTACGCTAGCTCCAAATATGCTGTCCCAGCACGCAGCATTATGGCACCCGGGAAGGGACCACTACACTCCTATGTAAATACAGTGGCTGGGAATCCTGCAGACAGGCTAATGTGCTACCTGTGGAGGGCCACATTGCAGCCTACCTCCAGGTTCGAGGTGTTGATTTCATCCCTCCCCCTAATACACAGAAGGCCCTATATGCTGAATTACTTTGCCTTCATGTGCAACTCCAGGGCTTTCCCCTACACACATTAGAAAGACTAATAAAGCTCTCCATTCTAATCCACATAAAACCTGATGTTCTCATTTTAAATTACTGCTTGCGGAGCTTCTCTTCCCTTTATTACCTTTGGCTTTTCCCTCTTTGGGATGTTTCTTCTCTGTTTTTTCTACAAAGGAGAAAGAAATATAACAGTTTAGGGAAGGGACAATTTAACTTTGTAACAATCAGATTATCAAGGTCAGTCTTCAGTTGAAACTGGGGCAAACTTTTCAGAGATTGTTTCAAACAACACTAATAAGAGTTGTAACATTCACAACAAGGACAATGAGATTACTACTATGGTGATCTTATATCACACACACACACATACCCACACACTTCTCTAATAGTTGGCTTTTACCTTCTCTTTCCTTTGCAGCCTTTTCTGTTTTTTTCTTGGCTAGAAAGATTTGCAAGGAAATATCATTAACTAAGAGGCCTTTATTGGGGATTCTATTTTGGACACCTAGAGCAAATTGATCCCTGGTGTGACTATTAATGTTCCTAAATTTACAGCAGGGATAAATCTTGCCCATTTCAATGGACTGTGGGTCTAGAGCACTATATTATTTGTATTAAGCTTTACACCAAACAAACATACTTGTCTTAGCATGCTATATGTATATGCCCTTTTTCAGCATTCCTTTTCCAACCCCCCAGAATACAGCTAGTTAGTTAAGACTATTCTCAGCTAAGCGCACTGAAATTAACTACAGTGGATAACTGCAGGCATCTGCACCATTCCAACATTCCCTGGTGAGTACAGCAGAGATCTGGCAGTATGCCTTAGAACTGTTCATTTTCATTCCATATGATCCAGCCAGCTGTAATAAGGATTCAGTGTCTCTTGGTGCATGTGCTATCTGATTAACGCAAGATGGCTTAATGCTAATCACCTCTGTCTAGCTCACCCAAACACACACACTTTAAAATAAATACAGTGAATACAAAAGTGAATACAGTTCATCAGGCCAGATTCTCAACAGCTGTAAACTGGCGTAGCACTAATGATTTCAGTGGAGCTATGCCAGATTACACCAGCCAAGGATTTGGTTAATCATGTTTAGTGAGGTTGTGTTTCACTGGTTTACTTTGCTAGATGCTAAAAAACATGGCCTTAATGAAGGCACTGGATTTATGGCTTATTACAACAATCTGTAACACACTAACCCCCTTATTTCCCTATGACTACAGAGGAGTTAATGGGCCACTTCACCTTGAAGGGTCCCTTAGAATACGTGGTTTCAGAGTAACAGCCGTGTTAGTCTGTATTTGCAAAAACAAAAGGAGTACTTGTGGCACCTTAGAGACTAACCAATTGGGTTAGTCTCTAAGGTGCCACAAGTACTCCTTTTGTTTTTAGAATACGTGCTAACTACTTTTGCTAAACTATCTGTTCAGTCTCCTATTTGGCTGTGACACTCTTAGTACCTTTCCCAGACCGGAAGAGGAGTTCTGTGTAGCTCGAAAGCTTGTCTCTCCCACCAACAGAAGTTGGTCCGATAAACTATATTACCTCACCCCCCTTTTCTCTAATATCCTGGGATGAACAAGTCTGCAACAACACTGCATACAACTGGTCCTGTCTGTTAGACATTTCAGAGAAGTGTAAAATTTACCTGCTACTGTCATTTCAGATGCTGGTTCTTCAGAAAAACAATCAGAAATAAATAAATAAAAATGAAGAAATTCAGGCTTGATGTTATTTTATTTTTAGAAGTTGACAGTTTTGATAGATCTTAACTTTCAACTGCAACTATCTTCACAGGATATTAATTTGGAAATAAATAAATCCATGCAATGGACATGTACACAGAAATTAAACAGTGAAAGCTGCGAATCCTACCCTTTGAAGAGCTATAAGCCAACATGCAGATACTGTGCCAATGAAAGCTTTTCTGACCAGTAAGTATTTAAATGGGATTCTTTTCAGATAAGCACTCAAGGTTATAGCTACCTAGCATCTTTTTTTCTGTAAAGCGTGTTTAAGTTTAAGTTTTCACCTCTGCTGTCCTACCAGCCATGTACCCTAATTAAGGGCTCTGACACTGACCTGCTGTCTGACCTAGGACAAGTGCCTTCACCTCTCTGTACCTTTTCTTTCCCCAAACTATCTGCCTTGTCTTTTTAGACTGTAAGCTATTTGGAGCAGGAACTGTCTCTTGCTATGTGCACCTTGCACAATCATTTGTGGTCCCTAGGCACTGCTGCAAAAAAAAAAAAAAATACACAACAGATACAATAGGCCAGCTCCTTAGCTGGTGTAATTTTGACATAGCTCCAGTGAAGGATCTGCACCAATTTACATAGGGCCAGATTAATCTGTTGTGAGCCCCCCACCCCTACTCCACCCTGAGACCCTGGCCCTGCTCAGCCTCTTCCCCCTGAGGCCCCGCCCGCTGCTCACATGGGGGTGGGGGAGGGCAGAGAGGAATGAACAGAGGGAGGGGGGAAGAGAGGAGTGAGTGGTGGGGTGGGGAAGGGGCCACAGTCCAGGCACTGGGGCGCCTTCTGAGTGAGGACCCGACGGCATGGCACCATTGTAAACCCAGTACTGAATTTACATGGTTTGAGACCTGGTGACTGGAAAATGAAACTCTCTTTTCCCCTCTGTTTCATTAATGTTCATTTTATCCTATGGATTTTAAGATAAGATAAGAAAAGACAGAAACCCTGCATGCCAGACAGAAACGTAATCCCTTTTAACTAGAACAGTACAGAACTGGATGCATTCAGGTTGCAGGGATATATATAAACTTTTCTTAAGGTTCCACTTTGGGTGAACTATCACCTTTTGCTTCAGCTGAAAATGATGTGTTTCATCTGGTGGCCCTCTGTATCATAAACAGGATTGGCCAAAAGTTTTCCATCAAAACTGTTTTTTTTTTGGATGGAAAGTTGCATCTTCAACTAAAACTTTTTACAAAAGATGTCCATTTTCTTTAGAAAATTTGGACTTTGTTTAAAAACTGAACATCCAAATAATAATTATTATTATAATACATTTGAAAATGCTGCATGGTGCCCCATGGGAGTTGTAGTTTGGGGACCTCATGCCCCAATTATCGTCTGTTGTCCATTTTCTGAAGCTAGACTACATCTCTCCTTTGGCCGTTGAACAGGAAACTGTCTGACTCCATGGTTGGCCCAGGGTGGGGGGATGGGGAGGAGGGGGAAAGTGAAGAAGAGGGGCAGGTGTAAAGAAGACTTAGAGTCACCTTTGTCTTCTTCCCCCTCATCTGCACCAAGACAGAAAAGCTGGGGATTAAAACCAGTGTTAAAACATTGACAGAAATTGTACCCCAAGGTTGGGAATTTTACTACTGAATTCTACAGGGGCAGTGAAGGGCCAATGTTGAGATCTTTTGAAAATTCCACACTAAATGTTTCTCCCACTGTATGTTAGCATTTCATATCATTAAACAATTACTTCTTATTTAAGAAAAAATACCACCAGCTTTGTCGTCTGTTCTAGGTAACCAGTCATAATTTGATAGCCTTTAAAGTAATCAGTATGCAGAAACTGTGTTTTAGATTTAATTAAAGCCTCTGATTTGATAAATGACCAATTGCCATCACAGACACCGTTTCACACTAAACTGGAGATGATGAAAATAGGATGGTTTACTAATTATTTTAATGATCAAATGCTAATTAATTTTGGTGATTACTATTAAAATTTACAGAGATAATTTTGGAGTACTTCAGACTTAGTTTTTTATTTATGTTATGGCCTGCCTTTCACATAATGAGCCAAATTCTCCGCTGATTTATGCCCGATCCATTGATTCTAATGGGATAGCATAGGGTACAAATTGGAAATAAATTTGACTCAAAATACCCGTACACATTTAGCATATAGTTGTGCTACACACAAGCCCTGAAGACCATAGATTACTCAGTAACCATGGCTTTACAGTGCTATAATGTACATATAAATTAATTAGAAATATTTGCAGTGAAGTCACTTAGTACTAGGATTGGGCAGCTGCTATCCAGAATAAATACTCCTCTTTGAGTGAAAAGATCAGTTAAAACCAAGAGATATTCATGTAAATGAGGATGCTATATAAAGCTGATCCAGAAAGTCTTTTAACTAGAGCTACACAGGGATTACTGGATCAGGGTATAAATTGTAGATAAAGATATTTAGGTACACAGTTGGATATCTGTTTGTTGATATTTTTAAATTAGAAACTATTTATCTAGATCAATACGATCATTCCAAGCAGCAAAATGCAGATTCAAGGATTTTTCACACAAAAGTCACATTGACACATGTTGACATGCATCCGATGAAGTGAGCTGTAGCTAACGAAAGCTTATGCTCAAATAAATTTGTTAGTCTCTACAGTGCCACAAGTACTCCTTTTCTTTTTGGCTATTGTTTGTCAATGGCATGTGTCAGAACAGCATATGCTTTAGTAACATCTCCCATGATGCAACACAGTCTTCCCTCTTGCTGAGCTGTCATGGTGCATCATGAAAATTCCATGGCCACATTGCATCGTGGGAGCTGTATTCTGGCTGGAGAGCCCACTCACAGAATCATAGAATCATAGAATATCAGGGTTGGAAGGGACCCCTGAAGGTCATCTAGTCCAACCCCCTGCTCGAAGCAGGACCAATTCCCAGTTAAATCATCCCAGCCAGGGCTTTGTCAAGCCTGACCTTAAAAACCTCTAAGGAAGGAGATTCTACCACCTCCCTAGGTAACGCATTCCAGTGTATCACCACCCTCTTAGTGAAAAAGTTTTTCCTAATATCCAATCTAAACCTCCCCCACTGCAATTTGAGACCATTACTCCTCGTTCTGTCATCTGCTACCATTGAGAACAGTCTAGATCCATCCTCTTTGGAACCCCCTTTCAGGTAGCTGAAAGCAGCTATCAAATCCCCCCTCATTCTTCTCTTCTGCAGGCTAAACAATCCCAGCTCCCTCAGCCTCTCCTCATAAGTCATGTGTTCTAGACCCCTAATCATTTTTGAGAAATGAGAAAAGAGAAAAGAGTCATCAGATACCCAAACTACAAGTCCCCCGGGACACCGTAGTAGCTCAGAAGGATGTGGTCTAATGTCAAACTGAGCAAAAACGAAACATTTTGATTCAGTTCCACACACCAAAATTAAAGGCTTGCATTTCTGAATTGAAATTTGTCTGTTTTCTGCTAAAACTTCTAGACTTTGGGTGATTTTTTAAAATTAAAAAAGTTGTAATTTTTCCACAGAAAGCAGCCCTACCAGCCCTAGTGCTGAGGGGCTGCTGCCACCTGCTGACTTCAGTGGGAGTTGAAGGTAGTCAATACCTCTCAGGATTTTGCTTTATAACTTTCATTCATACATATTTGTATCACAGTAGCACCAAGAGGCCAGTGCCCCATTGTGCTAGGCACTGTACAAGCACAGAACAAAGACAGATCCTGCCTCAAAGACCTTTCTGATACCTTATCTGCGAAGGTATGTACTTTAGTTATTTTCTCAGTACCCAAGCACTCATCTTTTTACAGGTTTTCCTTCTCTTCTGCTGACAGACATGTCCCTCCAATAAAACTATATTATTATAGTTCACAATTTGTAACATGAACAAAGTTGTATTAACATGTTTTTTTTAATGACAACTTGTTTCAGAATCACTCCTAAGGTGGTAACTATTTTTTCATGTTCTCTGTCCTCAGTCTGTTTTAATTAAGTTCAAATATTACTTTATCTGAATATTTCTTTAAAGTATTGCTAAATTATTTCAGCAGTGCAGCTTTCTGTAAAGAATATATATCTGTATTGTCTACATTAGAAAATAATGGACATTAGTCCATGTGATCTGAAATGACTTTCAGTTTCGAAGAGATATCATATAATAATGTCAATAGATTATTTTAGTTTGAAGGATTAACCTCTACATATAATATGGGCCAGATCCTGCCTTTGACCTCAGTGGGCTTTGGCTTTCAATTGACTTAAATGGGCTTTGAATCAGACCTTCTATGAACTACATCTATGTATTTTACAATGCTTTTAGAATGTATTAATTAATTTTCACATTTCATAAGCATAAACACTGATCTTTATTAAAAGTATTATTGTTGTTTTAACACAATGTGCAGTACGTAACATCTAATTTCACAATGCAATTGACACTAATCCAATCCTTCTTTACACAACCAAAACTCCCATAGTCCTCAACAAGGAGAATTTCTGGAGTGCAAGGAAGACTCATTCTGTGTGTGTTGTCTAATTTCTCTTCTAACTCACTTAAACATCATGATCTTTCATTCTTTTCTTCATTTGAATTGGGTATCTTATTCTGTTAGATGTAAAAACTACAGGCTATTGAAAAGGCGAGCAAACATGCCTGGTTAATTCACTAAACAGTACAAATAAATTATATAACATTTTCTTCTAATTCTGTTATGCTAAACATTATTTAACTATTCTAATTGATCTATACTTTATCAAAAATTGATCTGACCACACCCACCTAAAACCACACTAATCTAAATTATGCTACTAGGATAATTTACTTTACTTATATAAAAAAATAATCACAAACTAGCTGATCTGACTGTTGCAGCTGCACAATATTAGATCACTTGTGGCTTTGGCTCACTCGCTTTTTAGGCAGAATGAATAAAATCCACAACGTATCACTTTTAGAAAAAAAAATAACATTCTCTAGCATGACAAAGTTGCAAAAATCAAAACCCAATCCAAGGCATCATGCATCTAAAGGCAGGCTTATATTCAGTAGAAAATGTCTCTGGCACATACTTGCAGTTACTTTTGATCTGGCTGAGAAGTAAAAGAGGGAAGAATAATATTCAGAATGGAGACGTATGGAGAAGGCTGGTATAATATTTTCCCGGCCCAGGCTTGCTTTATTTATTAATTCTCACATATAATTAAGCATTGTTTTTAGTGAAGTTACTATTGTAACTAACAACATTACAACTATAACAATAATGATAATCACTTTGAGAAAGACAGATAAAATGTACTCTGTAAGAATGAAATATAATTATTAACAGCAGCCACCTTACATCTACACAGCTTCTTTCACTCTGCAGTCCAGAGCAGAATCTCTCTTTTATAGGGGTGATCATCTCTTTATAGTGAAATTGTACTGTACTGCTTCATACTGCTGCAGTAAATACATTGCACAGAGATACTTCATACTAATGATAATATCCAAAAGTCATTTAACAAAATGAAAATGGATAGTCCAATATGATGGATTGAACAAGGTAGTATATAAAATGCTAGTATAGGGAGATAACGATCCTTGAAGAAAAGGGAAGTGTACCTGGTCCTGAGAATTTGAACCATGCCGGAGTTCAATGAAATCCAAATGAATAGCAGAATAATACCAAAATTATTTTGTAGGTGAGAGTATTCAAAACAAACACTTTTCCGACTATGGATCAACCTCTGTTGACATAACCGAATGGCTAGGCAGCAGTTCTGCAGAAAAGGACCTACAGGTTACAGTGGACGAGACGCTGGATATGAGTCAACAGTGTGTCCTTGTTGCCAAGAAGACTAACGGCATTTTGGGATGTATAAGTAGGGGCATTGCCAGCAGATCGAGGGATGTGATCGTTCCCCTCTATTCAAAATTGGTGAGGCCTCGTCTGGAGTACTGTGTCCAATTTTGGACCCCACACTATAAGAAGGATGTGGAAAAATTGGAAAGCATCCAGCGGAGGGCAACAAAACTACCTGAAAGGGGGTTCCAAAGAGGATGGCTCTAGACTGTTCTCAGTGGTAGCTGATGACAGAACAGGGAGTAATGGTCTCAAGTTGCAGTGGGGGAGGTTTAGGTTGGATACTAGGAAAAACTTTTTCACTAGGAGGGTGGTGGAGCACTGGAATGCATTACCTAGGGAGGAGGCAGAATCTCCTTCCTTTGAGGTTTTTAAGGTCAGGCTTGGCAAAGCCCTGGCTAGGATAATTTAGTTGGGGATTGATCCTGATTGGAGCGGGGGGTTGGACTAGATGACCTCCTGAGGTCCCTTCCAACCCTGATATTCTATGATTCTATGAACTCTCTTGACAAGAGTGGAGTCAAGGAAGCAGGAAATTGTCTTTATATAGCTGAAGAAATGGACATAAGAATTCTAGTAACATGTAACGGCTATTTGCCACACTTCAAAGCCACAGTATGCTTCAAAAAGTTAAACAGTGTCATGCACTTGTACATTTTGGCATTTGTCATATGCAGTTCTATTGTGACTTATCTAAGCAGTTTCAAATGTAGGGATAACTGAACATACAGTAAAGCCTACCTGATTTTGTTTGTGGAACTTCTTTTTCTTGTCTGACAGCTTCGTGCTCTATACAAAAGCAGCAGCATGAAAAAGCTAATTCAATCATACCTTTTTTAAAGTAAGTAAGAGCCGCGTGCATGTTTTCTTCAAGAGTAAACATTTATCTTATATTGTGCATGCTGTTATTGTGGAAGAAAGCCAAATGACTAGCCTCTAGCAGTCTATTCATTATAAAGTCTGCAGCAAAGTAGTAATAAGTAATATTGCATCTAGGTGTCAAGTTTCCCCATGATGCACATGTATAAGTTCTATTAATGTTACCGGGAGTTATGCACATACATCAAGGGATGAAAAACCCTGCAAAATGGAGATTCAAAGCATATGCCACAAAATCAACAAGGGGGTATTTTTTTAATAGTATAAATTCAGTACTTATGGATATAGTCTACTCTCAAATCAGTAGCACAGATCACAAATAGGTGGATCATTGAAGTATTTTGAGGACTAATACACATCCCTGGGGATCAATGGGAACTCACCTTCCAAACAGTGGTTTGTATCAGCTCTGTAATTATTCTATTGAAAGTTCTGAATTCTCAAAAAAGGAAAGTACTGTGCAAATTTACCATCCTTTCACCAAGCATTTATGTTTGCAAATCAGATACTTAAGCTGAACTCCAAAAGTTCAGAATACATCCCAGTTAGGGTTGACAACTCTCCTGGTTTGGCAGGGAGTCTCCCAGAATCAGGCTCTATCTCCCAGAGGCTACTGAAGCCAAACCAGGAGATTTTAGGCACTAAAAGTCTGGCAGAGCTAAGGCAGGCTCCCCACCTGCCCTGGCCCCATGCCTCTCCCGGAAGTGGCCAGCACGTCCCTGCTGCCCTTGGGGAAGGCGGAGGGTCTCCACACGCTGCCCTCACTCTGAACGGCACCTCTGCAGCTCCCATTGGCGAGGAACTGGGAGCTGCAAGGGCAGGCCCTGCCCTCCCCAGGGGCCGCAAGGATGTGCCAGCTGCTTCCAGGAGTGGCGCGTTGGAAAGGGTAGAGTGTGGAGACCACCACAGGGGCTGCAGAGACATGCCGGACACTTCCGGGAGTGGTGCAGGGCTAGGGCAGGCAGGGGCAGCCAGAGGTAAGCACCGCTTGACCAGAGCCGGCACCCAACCCCCTGCCCCAGCCTGGAGCCCCCTCCTGCACCCACAGTCCCTCCGGGAGCCTACACCCCACCCCCGTCCTGCACCCCAACCCCCCTGCCCCAGCCCTGAGTCCCCTCCAGCACCCAAGCTCCCTCCCAGAGCTTGCACCCCACACCCCCTCCTGCACCCCAGCCCCCTGCTCCAGGCTCAGCCCAGATCCCCCTCCCACACTCTGAACCCCTTGGCCCCAGCTCAGAGTCTGCACCCCCTCCCAAACCCCAACCCCCTGCCCCGCCCAGTGAAAGTGAGGGAGGGAGGGGGAGAGCAAGCAGCGATGAGTGAGTGGGGCGGGGCCTCTGAGGAGGGGCAGAGTAGGGGTGAGGCAAGGGTGTTCGCGTTTGTGTGGTTAGACAGCTGGCAACCCTAATCCCAGAGCATATGAATAGACTATATGTCACTATGGAGAATAAAGGAGAAAAAGCCTCTTCAGCAGCAATTAATGTTTCCATTTTTTTGTTCACTTGCACGATAATTTCTATCAATTTGTAAGTTGCATGGCATTTTGAAGGCAAGAGAAGACTGACGACTAGCATTGCATAATTTGTAGGAAATAAACACACCTGCCTAAATGAAAACTGCAGCAACCCTAAACTCTCACAGCATGGTAGTAGCTAGGCCAACGGCACGCAACTAGGGGCCAGAGGAATTTTTAGAGCAGGAGGATCAGGTGAGTGCTATGTTGGCCATTGTTTCCTTCTCTGATGCCCCCGACATTGTCAGAAAACAGTGAGTACCAAGACATACTCAAAGGTGAACTGCAAAGCTAAAAAAAAATTAATGATTCCCAGAAATCAATGCTAAATGCCTCTGTCCCATCCCTGTTAAGATTACCAGGAATTCCATGATTAACTGTGATTCCACAGAATGATGCATTCTGGGAAATGCCTAGAAAACCAGGAAGTGCCGGGGACTTCACACAGGAGATGATGAATATAAACAATGAGCTAAAACTTAATTTTGTGCTGAATGACACCTCCTTCCACATGCACAGGAAACTGAAAGGGCTGTCAATTAGGAATGACAAACAAGTATGTTAAATCAAAGCAATAGCAGAGATTAGGATTGCTGGGATAGAGAGAATGTAGCTTTAAGCAAAAAACTAATAAGTTACCAATACAAAGTTTTTATTTGTTAAAAGTAAAATAGTCACAAATCCAACTATATTAAAGGACTTATCCTTAGCAAGGTATATACTACATACTTGCTGGCTTTGACTTGACTACAGAGGATAAAAGAAGATAAAAATGTTATATTTAGGCATAAAGAACAAAGAAATACATTGTAAACATTTTGCCTACTAACTTTGCTCCCTCCCTTTTGTATATTCCCTCCTCACTCATTCTTAGCTGAACCCTTTCACTCCCTTCACATGCAAAGATGCATAAGTAACGTTACTATGGGCCAGATTTACAAAGGTATTTTTTTAAAAAAGGTTGAATTTAGTTGTAGAAAAGACTGAAGATACACGGATGCTATGGTTTTCCTTCCCTAAGTTTTCTCATTTAACAGTACTTGTAGATATGATATGAGGGTCCCAATATTCCATATAAAAATACCGCAATACTGTATTTTGTATTTTCCCCAAAGCTATTAATACACTGATATAAAAGTTAAACTGTTTTGGACTTTACTGTGGAAAACTACAGTAGTATATTTGTATACTGAATATCAAAACAATATTTTTACTAGATGTGCAGACCTATGTATCATCACTTTGTGTTGAAATACCATTGTTGTGCAAATTCCTAAACAGTGCAACATAAAGACAAACGATATAACTAACAATTACTATTTAAAGAAAGGAACTCTTTTCAAATATGCACCATATCAATGGGTATCTAATTTGCAAAATAGGTCATGCACCAAATAAGAAGCATATTCAAAATAACACAAAGGAATTATGCAATAAAAATATCCACAAAAGACTTTATGTTTGATAATTTATTATTATTGTTATTATTATTATTATTTGTTTTGCTGTACCACCTAGAAGCCCCAATCATGGACAAGGACCCTAAAGAGCTTATAATCTAAATTGCTGATATACTTGATCAACTCTGAGGTACATAGCATCTTCCTAAAGAAGTATGCTCATGGGGATTGTCTGGATCTAAATGCCACCAGTTACAGATTTCAAAATTATTCTGAGTAATAACTGCAATGTAAATTTAGTACACAAGTGTGAATTCTGAACAGGATTGAAAAAAGCATAAATCTAGAAAGGAGGACACCTCCCTTACCTGATTTTTCAGTGGGAACTGTCTTTTCTTGTTTGATTTTTTCCTCTGTATTAAGAAAAAAGTATAAAAGATAGAAATTCATGTGATGTTAGCACAGGGGTATAACTAGCAATATATTTATAAATTCAGCATATTTTACATAAGCCACCATGACTTTTTGCATCACTTTTATTGTAGAACTGTAAAATATGTATTCTGACTGCCTGGTGAGATATTTCATGGCAGGACAAATTATTAGGCCCCAAGCTTTAGCAATGGGAAAACAATAACACTCTTGATAGTGTCTTCCAATTAGCACTCAAAATGAAACTGTTTTTCCACTTAGCCAGTGATAACAATTTTGGGAACCCCCCCTCCGAAATCTGTGCTGAGCATTTGCTTCCAAAGAACTAAATTCTCAGTGCTCTGGGCACGTTCATCCCTAGCATTGGCTTGCCAAATCCTCTTTGTTGCATCAGTTTCTTTTTGGATCACCTTGAGAGGCCACAAAGAAGTGAGTGAGATTTGCCCCTAAATGTATACAATAAAATAACTGGCTTATTTCAAAGGGAATTAACACTGATGGAATAAAATCTAGCTCTGAAAAATACCTTTATTGTATACTGAAAACAAAGAAGATACAGAACTGAATGGTGAAACTTTTTACCAAAGTAGTTGGTAATTTCTGTTCATTTACATGCAATTTAGTTTTTATTACTGAACTATATTTTCTTCCCTTGCAATGTGACTGTCAGGTGAATATGAGCGCTGTACACTGAAACTGACTCAGCTCCATCTCACAGCTACCTTTGAAACTGACAGGTCCATTTGGGCACAATGAAGCAGCAGCTATTTTAGATAAAGCAGCTCTTTTTAACATCTCAGCTATGTTATGTGAACATTTTAACTCCAGTGCATTTCCATTCATCTAGGGTTTGTATATTAACAGTTTCATATACCAATACAGTAGGGAAAGGTCTAGTTGACTTTAAAGTTGGACTATACCATCCAAATGGATGAGTGATGGGTGAACCTCAGAAGTTTGGAGTTTCCATTTGCTTTGGATAAGCACCAAAGTCTCAATGCTTATGTGAGTCTTAAACTGAATGATTTTTGCTTTCCCTAGTTATTATGGAAATCTCACAAGAACATTTTCTCCATGAATCTTTCACTATATGCTGCCTCTTCAAGTAAGAATACAGGGAGGACAGCTCTTTTAATACATTTGTATGTTGGGATATTCTGAGGTTAGCACAGCATTCGATTATAGTAAGACTATGGCTGTGACAGTGCTGTATATTCAAGTGCTTTTGCAAGATGTGCAATGAAGTTAATTTAAGGCAAAGGGCACAAATACACAAATCTCCAGCTTTCTCTCCTGATACAGGAGAGTAGAACACCATGTCCGAACGCTGTATGGCATATTGGCATCAAACAGTTCAGCTGAATTAAGCTTTCATTAAGACAGTTACTGAATTAAGACAAAAAGAAAAGGAGTACTTGTGGCACCTTAGAGACTAACCAATTTATCTGAGCATGAGCTTTCGTGAGCTACAGCTCACTTCATCGGATGCATACCGTGGAAACTGCAGAAGACATTATATACACACAGAGACCATGAAACAATACCTCCTCCCACCCCACTGTCCTGCTGGTAATAGCTTATCTAAAGTAATCATCAAGTTGGGCCATTTCCAGCACAAATTTTATTTCACTTGACTGTCTTAATTCAGGTTTCAGAATTACTGTTACTCTGTTACTCTGAAACCTGAATTAAGACAGTCAAGTGAAATAAAACCTTAGTTTAAACTATTTTCGTAAAAACAACAATTGAGTACCCAGAAATCAAACCATTATTATTTGTATTACTGTAGTGCCTAGGAGACCCAGTCATGCACAAGGACCCCATTGTGCTAGGCACTGTACAAACAAACAGTCCTTGCACCAAATAGTTTACACTCTAAGTATAAGACAACAGACAACCGATATAGATAAACAAGCAAACAAAGAGACAACAGACAAATCTTTGTGTAGGTTTGAACATGATTTGTTAAGAGTGAGGACCCCTCTCCTGTAGTCACCCACCTACCAGATGCCCTTAACCTAGTCTTCCTCAGCTTATGGATCTGCTCATACTCCTGGTGGCAGACCTCCCTGTTACGGATGTAGCCCTCCTTCTCACGTCCAGTCAGATCTTCAAAAGGTGGCTGAATAACCCTTTTACCTGCATCTCTAAGCATTGAGTGAAACCAGGTAGGAAGATAGAGGGACTGGTTTAGGGAAGTCTTTGAATATCTGGGTGCTTACCTAAGCCCAATACATCCCCCAAACTTTTGAGTAGAGGTGGTTGGAAAAACTTTGAGGGAATCATTTTCTGTCAGGGTATTTAATATCATTGAAATCAAAACACTTCATGAAGTCATGCTGAGTTAGTAAAAATTCCATTTTGGGGAAATAGTTCTGAATTCCGAAGTGTCCCGTTTTAACATTTTTGGAATGAAACATTTTGATTTTTCATTTTGAAATTACTTTTTTCCCCCATTTTTTAAATGCGAAAAAAAGTTACAAATTGATTCTTGTATGTTTCCCCTGATTTCAACAGCGTTACACCAGGGATGAATTTGGTTCTCTTGCTTTGGCTGGTCACAACTATATCTGAATTTAAATTTTTCCCTTTTTGGGTCAACATGTTTTTGTACATCTGTTGATTTCTCAGTCTTGTAATACCTCGGAATTTGGTGGCATGAATGATAAGAATTATATTATGAAGCTGCTGTAAATCAAAGTGAAGAAAGAGGCCACTCCCCTTGAGAGGTTTCTTATCATTCAGTCTGCAAGAGCACTCACTGGCACCAGGCCTGCTGATGGGGGAGGGGGGACAAAGGGGGTAATTGCCCAGGCCCCGGGCTATTTAAAAGGGTCCAGGGGCCCCGGCCACTGCCAGCAGGAGCCCCAGCCACTTTTAAATAGCCCAGGCAGGCCACGGGGCTCCTAGGTGTGTGTGTGGGGTGGCGACATCTCCGGGCCCCGTGCTTTCAGGGGCCCCATGGGCTGGCACAATTGGCCAGAGTGGTCGGTCCTGGAAGTGACAGATTCATCACTTCTGCCCTGGGCCCTGCAGCCCCCTAGGGATGACCCTGGGGCCCGGAATTGTTGTCATTGGGCCTGACTGGCACACAGCAGGAAGAAGAACAACTGATGTTTTCAAATAAGTACTTCCAGTCACCAGCAAACAAACTGCCATACTTCTCCAAAGCAACCATGAATTACCCGAGAAAAGATCTCTTATACAAAAACAAATTCAACAATCCATTGTTCTCATTAAGGGTTTAAATTCCAGGGGCTCTAGCCTAGTTTGTAGCTGTGCAAGCTTCTGATCACCCCAACAGAACTTTGCAACTAGATAGTTGTATTGGCTGTGTGATATTCAAGAACCATCGCATTCAGAAATTGAACTACATCTGGAGGAGATATGGCTAACCATTAAGTCAGTGCTGATTTCACTGTGCTCACAGGATAAGTATTCGTGCTGACTGGATGTGTTACATGCAACTGAGCAGCCAAGAAAAAGCCTCCTACCCTCCATCAGTGTGCAGTGGACTGGAACTGGATGGTTTTCATTGCCAAGGGCAGGAGACTGGCTCAGCAGAGGCCACTTATGCTGACATGCTAATTCAACTATCCCATGAGCTGCTGCTGCTGTCTTCGTAGGCTTAACTCAGCTCAGGATCTATGCTGGAGTCCAACCATATAGATCCCGATGGAGGCCCATACAGGTGAAAATTCTGCCAAAGGGGAAGGTTGCAACAGTGGAATGTGGCAGCAACCACCTCGCTGCTAGGAGGCCTGCAGGGGTCAGAACTACTTACCAAGTGGGTGGCTGGTTAAGTCAAAGAGAAAATCTTAAAGCTGCCCATCCATGAGAGGATGGTGGTACCATTGCATACCCTCTCTTGGGATAAATCCTCCCATAGGATTCAGGACCAGACTGAGGAGGAAAAGGTATTTTATACCTCCTTCAACCAGCTTCACTAAATGTGGCCCATAGTCTCCAGTATCAGTAAACAAATAGTGGACAATGAGGTATAAAACAGATTCTGGATGTTCAAAGACTGGGATGAGGAACATTGCCTGCCGGCCCCTCCCCGCAAGAAGGCAGCAATAGAAGATCTCTAAATATCACCAGTTGCTCTACGCAGTAGAATCTTGCAGGGAGATCCTACTCATATCTATGATATTCTACATCTACTAGCATGCTCCACTGTTATACAAGGGAGATGGGGAAAGTAACATACAAAGAATGAGGATTTCCAATGAAACTGTCACAACCACAACAAAAATGTTTGTTCAGACAAATAGGTGAGAAAGAAAGACCTGTCTGCCTGATGCTGAAGGAACGCATGTTTGTAAGAAGTATATTAGTGAGCTGATTCAAGAAGAGTTTGTTTTTATGCAAAGCTAGTCCCCATGATCACAGCAGCACTGTCAAACAAGATCAATGAGACTCAAATATCTGCTGTTTCAGGGCCTATTGCATACAATAAGGCTATTCAGCAGCAGCTTAAACTGAGCACCAAATAGCTGAGTTTTCTATCAAACAATCATCTTACCATGAGTTTCTCCTATTGGGCCAGACTATGAATCCCCTTGGTGTCTCAGTGGGAATATTCATGCAAGTACCTCCAGCCCAGTGAGAGGAAACGGATTCACAATCTGGCCCACGATGATCCTCACAATGGGTGAAATTCACAAATCACCCCAGTGCACAGGATCAACACAAGTCCTACTAAGTGCTGAACTCCTTGTTGGTAAGTGATTCATAGACTGTATGCTGGTGCTCTCTCTTTTGGACTTTGACCATTTTAGGTAACAACTGATCGTGTTAGGGAAAAGCTTAGATGGGGTGATTCCAAATATTTACCTTGGCTCATTGAGGGCCAATGAGTTTATAACCTGGTTATAAACACTTTACTCCCACTGGTGAGGAGAGTCCCATAAATTGTTCCACTGAAGCCAATGGGACTACTTGTGTGAACAACAGCTCACCATCATTAAAAAAAGAAAAGGAGGACTTGTGGCACCTTAGAGACTAACCAATTTATTTGAGCATGAGCTTTCGTGAGCTACAGCTCACTTCATCGGATGCATACCGTGGAAACTGCAGAAGACTTTATATATACACAGAGAATATGAAACAATACCTCCTCCCACCCCACTGTCCTGCTGGTAATAGCTTATCTAAAGTGATCATCAGGTGGGCCATTTCCAGCACAAATCCAGGTTTTCTAACACGGCTGTTACTCTGAAACCCATCATTAAAAAGATATTCACAATCTGGCCCCGTGGGAAATAAATTTTCCGCTCCCCTGAAGCAAAACAAACCCCTTCCCTGAACCAGCAGTTCCCTCCCCTCCAAATCTGTATAGCACATAAAACCTATTAGAAGAGGACCCTTTCATGAACCTTGAAACTGAACACAAAAGACTACCTGGTTTGGCATGGGAAACAGCTTTTTCTTGTTTAATAGATTCATGCTCTGCAAATAAGAAGAACCATAGGATAGAGATTACACGTTAGCCTAGATTACGGTATTTCAATTTAAAACTGAAATGCTCCTTCCAAGAACAAACCAGTCCAAAATCAGATGAAAATGTGTAACTGTTGGTGCCATAATTGCCATGCTAGATTCTGACCTCAGTTACACCAGTATAAATCTAGAAGAACTCCTTAGCCTTCCATCTCACTCATTTCCTACACTTATAACCCTTCTCCGACAAGGAACATGTGAAGATGCCTTCCTCATTCAAATGTAACTTTCTCCATTGATATAATACTTACTGTGTTCATGAGGTTTCACTACTGTCACTAGAAAAAAAGAGAAAGAAAAGTATATTTTTAATATGTATGTCACTACAGTGTATGTTTTAGTGAGTTTGTTCTATTTGGGTCAATAACACAGAGCTTTGATAATGTATAAAACAGCCAGCACACTGTGTACAAATAACATGTACATTTGCAAAATCAGAAAAGGAGAGCACTGTCATAACCGAATAGCTCCTGACAACTCATTTTAGGCCAAATATGAAGTGATGTGTAAGACAGTCTAAATTAGGCTCCTGTAAAATTCCCTTAGAACTAATTACACCCACTCTAGCAGCTCATGAACAATTCTAAATTGGTGGCAATTTAGAACTGGGCAAAATTTTTCACACAAACCTTTCTTTGGGGGGAAGGAGGGAGGAAATGCAGATTTGTCAAAACCAAAATATTTCATGAATTCACATCAATTTTGCCTGATTGTTTCAGTTGAACAAAACCAAAAACAAACTTCTGAAAAAAATCAAAATGTTTTGACTCAGGATTTTCAAAATGGATAATTTCAGGGTTTTTAAAATTTTGAAATGACTTTTCATTTTGAAATGTCCTTTCATTTGGTTAAAAAAAAAACAACCAAAAACATTTTAAAGTGGTCAAAATCTAAACAAAAAAATGTCAACTCTTTGATTTGCCAAACGTTTCAAAATTATTTGTTTTTGATTCAACTCAAAAACTTTTTTTTCCCCCAGAATTGCCAAAGAATCCAAAAATCCATTATTCACCCAGGTCTATGCCAATTACACTACTGGCTAGCTATTGGGGGGTAGGGGTGGGGGAGTAAATTTCATTCCACAAAGGGGTGTAGCAGTGGCTTCATTCTGCCTCCATGGGTTCACTCTCCATCACTAAACTGCAAAAATGTTTCCCTGAGTGCTGTATTACCCCAGTTCATTGGAGAATAAGGTCATAGGGTTATCAGATGTCTGCATATGGTTCAAGAGAGCAGTTGGAAAGGTTGCTGGCGAATACGTTGGTCCAAACCTCACATCCTAATGGGGACATAGTCTACCATGTAAGGTTTTAGCTTCCCTACTGGTTAGGCTATATGCTGCAATGCCCAGCAACAAGTAGGCAGGGGGAAAACAGTGCTCCTCTTAAGTAGGCCAGCAAAGCAAGCTACAGAGCAAGTCCTAACCAGGAGTCGAATGTAACATGTGATCTTAGCTGGTGTAAATGGAGCTACTTCAATTTACACCAACTGAGGACTTGGCCCCTTATGATTCGCAGGATACCAGGCAGCACTCAGCATAGTTTTTCCATATGGAGGGAGAAATACATGTTTTCAGTGTGAAAAATTCTCTCAGAGTGAAATACTAAAAGAAATCCAAGATTGCTGGGCTTATTTCACAGTGAAGCAGAAATGTGTCTTCCTTCACAGAGCAGCTATGCTACAATCACCCATTCCCCACTTGTGCCTGCTATTGTTACCCTGGATTAAAAGAGACAGCAACAGGAGCCAATACTCAGATCACAACAGAAATAATGGAGCATTTTGTGCTAAGAGGGAACGTAGGATAAGAATTCTAAGTGGTGGCAAGCACAGAATCAGCAATGTGAAGGAACTTAACATGGTGACAGAAGATATCAGTACTCCTACGGCCCCATTTGTCATGGCTGTGGAATTCACATATCAAAACATTTGGCCCCGGCAGTGTTAAGCTACAGTCTTTTTACAACAATCTTTGAAGATGCTTGCTGCACATCTCTTACTCCAGGGGTTCTCAGACTTTTGTACTGGTGACCCCTTTCACACAGCAAGCCTCTGAGTGTGACCCCCCCCCTTATACATTAAAAACACTTTTCTAATATATTTAACACCTTTATAAATGCTGGAGGCAAAGCAGGGTTTGGGGTGGAGCCTGACAGCTCATGACCCAGCCATGTAATAACCTCACGACCCCTTCAGGGGTCCCAACCCCCTGTTTGAGAACCCCTGTCTTATTCTGTTATGTACATTAACAACATACTTGGTAGTTTGGCCTCAACTTTTTTGCCTAAAAATACAAAAAAAATCCATTTTCAGTACAAAATAAGCTTTCGATAAATTCTACTGTATTAGATGACACATTTGAACTCTGAAGGTGGAACTCAGACTGTATGATGCAAAAAACCCTAAACTAACAAAAAACAAAATTCCTTCTCAGCTATGAATTTTAACTGAGCAAATTAAATTCAGAGCAAGTGTCAGTTTAGAATATTAATTTATGGAGCTGAAATAATGACTGGTGCAACCATAACAAGACAGCATTTATAACACTAAGTACTATAATTAACAAATAATAATAAATTGTTACAGCTAGGCAAATAAAACACAAATACTGATTTAAGAACTCTTGAAATTCATCAAATAATTTGATGGACATTATTTGACCATGTCTATAATCTCAAAAATAACGGTTTATTATAGCACAGTCTATCCAAGGTTCTTAAATTATCTTCAGACATTAAGAATTCAGCCTTAACAGTCCTGTGAAGAAAATATTATTTCCGTTTTAAATGATGGAGGATGGAGCTAGGCTGTGCTCAGTGGTGGCAGATGACAGAACAAGAAGCAATGGTTTCAAGTTGCAGTGGGCGAGGTCTAGGTTGGATATTAGGAAAAACTATTTCACTAGGAGGATGGTGAAGCACTGCAATGGGTTACCTAGGAAGGTGGTGGAATCTCCATCCTTAGAGGTTTTTAAGGCCCTTTGCTTGACAAAGCCCTGGCTGGGATGATTTAGTTGGTGTTGGTCCTGCTTTGAGCAGGGGGTTGGACTAGATGACCTCCTGAGATCTCTTCCAACTCTAATCTTCTATGATTCTATGTGGAAAAACTGTGACACAGAGAGGTTAAGTGACTTGCCTTAATTCATATGACTTGCATGTCATGATCAGGAATAGAACTTGCGTCTCCTGAGTGAGGTAGGTAACTGTGTCCTTTTCCACATTTGACTGATGGAAAAAGGCAATGACACTTACCCAAAGCCAGAGGGAGCCAGTGTCAGAATGGAAGCTGAATTTTTAAATTCCTGATTCCCAGACTTATGCTTTAACCTTTGGATCATGCCTTTCTCTAATCAAATACACCAAATAATAATTAGATTGGTCAGGAATTTTCCATCTGAATGTTATTTGACAGAAAATGCAGTTTCTGCAAAAATGATATTTTACACAAGAAAATTCTGATTTTGCTGAAGTGTTTCAATTTTCTGTTGGGAAAAATCAAAACAAAATATTCAGTTTTGGGTCAAGTTTACCTGACCCAAAACAATTTACCTGACTCAAAACTTAATCAAAATGACATGGGTCAGCTGGACATTAGCCCGTCTCTGCCAAAGCTGCCATGGTGTCTCAAGGAAGTTGTAATTCAGATGCCCCACACTGACATTCTCCTTTATAGGCCATCCTCTTTGGCCAGACTATACCTCCCATGATGCACTGTAGTTTTCCCTCTGGCTGCCATGTGCATCATAGGAGTCTCATGGCCAAGGTGCATCATGGGAGATGTAGTCCAACTGTGCAACCTGGCCTACAGCGAGGCCTGGGGGCAATGAAGCAACTGTACTACACTCATGATGCACTTCAGCAGCTCAGGTGGTCACTGATTAATGTCAAACCAAACTGAAATGAAGCATTTTGACAATCTCTGAATTGAAAATTTTCAGAATTTTCCATTCCATAAAAACATTTATATTTTCACTTTTCCTCCTGATTTTGGATTGCGGCAGATTATACCTCTCTAGTGACCCCTTAGGGAAAGGCTGGGCACTGAGTCTCAGAGTCTAGGCCACAACCCTCCAACTGTGCTGTTCAGGCCATCTGCCCTTTGCAGGGTGAAGTTAAATCAGTCCAAACAAAAAAGTCAGTATGCTTCTGCAGACCACAAAATTAATCTTGGTACCAGACTTGGCAGTTTCATCTGTTACTATTTTTACATTGAATTCAAATTATGTTTGAATCTTGCCTGCTCTTCTGAATGCCAGAAGGGTATTAATTATATACTGCATATTCCTGTAAATTAGCTTCAGATAAGGATTGAGAAGAAAAATCCTTCAGTTTATTGAACCATAAATTGGTAAGGCTGAAAGCAGAACCTGCTTACTGATTATTGTCATCTAGATGGAAAACTTGACATGTTGTTTACTATTCAGATAGCGAACATATTTTTGTGTTTGTGTGTGACCGAGTGAGACTGTGAACACGCATTATAAAAAAGAATTCATTAGTAAGTGAAATGGATGTAATTCTAGAACCATTTATTGTACTAAGTGATAACAAAATAATACGGATGTTTTATAGCTAGAGAAATTTATTCTTTGACTGCACAGTTAAATGCATATTCTAAACAAAGAAGTTACCCAACAGACTCCTGCTGACTTTACTGGGATTTGGATTGGACCCTAAACTCACACTACCCTGACATTTATCTGTAACTAAATGACAAGTAAAGGGCCAAAAGGGAAACTGAGATCAACAGAAGTCTCTTTGTGACATCCAAAGGCAGAACTTGTTCCCTAGAATTTGCACCTCAGACCTCGACGCACAAAATAACCAAATTCTGAGACCCTTACACATGTTATGTAGCACTTACTCCACAAGAAGTCCTGTTGACTTCAGTGGGGCTACTTAGAGAGTAAGGTACTATTCAGCATGAGTAAGAATGTCAGAAGCATCCTCAAGTGTTTAAATAGAGTCTCTCTTTAAAATGTGACCGAAACTTTAAAACAAGAAATGAAGACATACCTTCAGCATCAGGATGAAGGACTACTTTAGCATCTTTCACCTTTTTGGCTTCTAAAATCACTGTAAATGAATAAATAATATCAAGATGTAATACAAAAAAAATCCTTCTCCAAATAAAATGTGATGTTTGAGACTATGCAGAATCCCAAAACAAAGTGAGAAAAGTAAAAAAGACCTAGAGTTTTTAATGCCTTTCTCTCTCTGATGTCCCTATTAGTAAAACATTTAAGCATTTGCTCAAATCCATCCCCCTCCACAAAAGCACATGAGCACATGCCTAAAGTTAATCATGTGATCAAGTCTAAGTGCCTTGAAAGGAATTTAAGAACCTACTTAAATGCTTTCTTGAATTAGGGAATTAAAGCTTCTCTCCCATATGAATGTGATTTGTTCCTTTTAAAATTTCCAAGGAACATACTTCAGGGAGCAGTATGAGTTAACATGTGTCATATGATTCTGCTTAATCTTCAGTACAGTTTTAATTTAAGGTTCAATGAAACAGCTTTATCCTTGTTGGTACAAGGTGCTTCAGATTGTGAAATACATGTGTTATCAACAAACCGGCAGGAAAATGAGATTAATTATATTTGGACAGTTTCAATATATCTCAGACTAAATAGATTTGAAAAAAAGCTTTAGAATGGAATTCATCAGGATTTATCACCTTATCCTAGACCAGTTTACCCACTCTTGTAAAGTTATTGCCTACTGATTCAAGGGGGGCAGCACAATGTGCCATTTTCCCCTCTGTTTTCAACATTAATGGATCTGATCCATCAAAATAAATTGTTCTCTTCTGAGCCCTGGCAGGCCTTAGGAAAGTAGATGCCAGTTAAGTAGCAGGAAGACTGATTCTGCAGAAAGGCCTGCCTGTCGCACATGCAGCTAAATTATAACCCACAAAGTAGATCAAAAGCAGCAGGTTGATTGGAAAGAGAAGAAGTTGTGCCCTCCTTGCCCTGCTCTTCACTGTACTAGTTAAGATTGCTCCAATAGCCCTTGGGCAATAGTAACTCAACTGAAGGGATACAGGTAAGAGGGAAAGAGAGTGGTGGTTGGTATACTAGACAAAAGAAAACCTGTGGACGAAATTTGAAAAAAGCAAGATTACCCACTAAAACAGCTCTCCTTAACATAGAATGGCCTTTCAACCTTCCTTACAACTCCTATCTATCTTAGGTACTAATATGGTTCCCATTAATACAGTATCTCAACACTTCACAGTTTTCAAGGTAATTATCTTCACATCATCCCTGTGAGTGAAGGAAATATTCATCTTGTATTAAAATGGGGAATGCAGGCACATGCCTAAAGTCACACAGAGTCTGTGGTGAAGCAGGAAATGGAGCATAGGTCTCCCAAGTCCCTGGCTAGCCTTGTAATCATGAGACCATCCCTCCTCTTACTTCCTGTTTATTCTGGTAGGCCTGTGCACAGCTAGAAAGCTCCATGGAGGAGAATTTCACCACTGTTCTTCTCATTAACCACGATGACGTGGTGCCGTGATGAAGGCAAATCTCCTTAAAGAAGCTCTGCTTTACCATTATAATTAATAATTGGCCAATGCTATTAGGTTCTACAGGGCATTAAACTACAGTAAACCAATCCTTATACTGTAGCTCTCCAACAAAAAACAGAGTGCTCAAATGAAAGCCATAGTTTTTTCTATCCTACAGATAGAGTAGAGAAGCAGCAAAGCCAATTCTGATACATTTGACTCCATATAATTTCTATTTCTGTGCCATCTCCATTTGGATTGCCTTATATATACACTCCAAACCTTAGTTTTTTGGTGGGGGTTAAGCTGTATTCTCAAGTTTTAGCTCAGGAGCACTCTGTAACACAGAAATATGAAGGAAAACAGAAACTTTCTGCTACTTCTTGGTATGAGTGTAACAATAGGGGTAGAGAAGAGGTTACTTAGAGGCTACTTAGAGATATTTTATGAGAGGACCCACTTCAGCTTGAATCTGAGCTGCATGCCTGTAGGGAACGGAAATAATGGTTCAAATCTTCCCTCATTTCCTACACTCAAGTTTGTCAGATGAACAATAGAAGTGCACTGGGAAATGCAGATCTTGTTGAAACAGAGTAATTTCATACAAAGGTATAAGTTAATGGCTTTAAAGTACTGTAAGTTTCAAACTCCCAGGAGGACAAATCTTCCATAGAGGGAACCGGAGAGATGAAATTACAGCTAAAGGCCGATTTTTTTGTGCACTGTATTCGCAACTTAGGCACATGTGTTGAAATGCCTGAAGAACACTCTTTCAATGCAATTATTAAAGCCTGATCTTTAGATGCAATTTTCCTGATGTTATATAACAGGAAACATACAACCCATATAGAACATACCTAAAGTATACTAAAAACAGTTTTCAGGGAAATCATGGTACATCATTGGGGTCAAAGGCATCATTCTTCTACAGGGTGCCCATGCATCTGTGCAAGCATTGTTATTGTTTAGAGATGAGCTCAGACCAAACCCCCAAAATAAAATACATATTTCAAGGCACATTTCACAGCTGACAGTTATCTCTATAATGCACCAAATCAAAATCTGACACCCAAGCCCCATGGAAAAAGTTTAGATCTGGTTCTGAACTTCACTGTTCAGACCCTTCTCTATTACTGACTAATTTCAATTAAGTGTAAAAAACAGCACCTTTGTGCATATGCTTCAATAGGCAATTTAATTAACGTGGAATAGAGGCTTTTAAAATGTGGAGAACACATACATTTATGGAAAGTAAGAACATACTGATGGACTTCAGGGGAAAAATATGTGCATATGATATTACTTGAAACACTGACATTTAATTAACTTTTGACAATGCTCCTGGGATTTTTTTCCATAGTGCTAGCCAAATTAATTGTGAGGTAAGATACAGGGATAATGACTGGTCTGTAACTCCACTAACTAATTTTTTCAGCATTAGTTACAAGCTTTCGAAAGCACATTTCAGAAAATTATGATCACACAGTTAAAGTAGGGGATTTTTTAAAGTGTCAAATCCAAGACTCATTAACTTTGGAATGGTATTTCAATAGTCAGTCCTCCTCAAAGCATTTACTTGCAGTATTTTTCTGCATGTTGGAATATGGTAATAGTTTCCCCAGTGGGGGAATCTGTTTGGCTAATTAACTATGTGTTGTAAGCACATCAAAGTCTTTCAATACGTTGTGCTGATCGACAGTTAAGCAGAATAATGATGAAAATGCTGACATTGTGCCAGTGCACATATATTACACCTAGCAAACGGTGAAAATACAGTTCTATATAGTTGGTGGCCTCTTATTTTAGCAATCACAGCTATTGCATCATCATTAAAACACAAGCTTAACTGTGTCTGTAACTAGGACTGAATAAATTACTGTTGTATTTTAACACAAGCAAAAAATGCTTAACATATTGTAATAATAACAGTAACTAAAATGATATAGATGTAAACTATTTTAAACTGGTGTTACTAAATAAATACATGTTTTCTTTAATTTAAAAGTATGCCCTCAATTTTCATTTAAGTGGGGTTACAAAAACGTAACCAATGGCAAGGGTTTGGGCTAAGTCATTTTGGGTAAAAATTTCAAAAGCTCCTAAGTAACTTAAAAACTTAAGCCCCATTGAGAGTGGGTCCTGTGCTCCTCAATCCCAAAGGCAGTTTTGAACATTTACCCTAGATGCTTAAATATGGATTTAGGAACCTACCTTTAGGCACAGAGGACTGAAAATTTTGGCTTTGGTCCCTAATTTAGGATCTGGTGAGAATAGATATTCTGTATGTATCACCCATTGAAGTCTATAAACTATTACCTGGTTTTGCTGGCTTTTCTTCTTTTTTGACTTCAGGTTCTGAGAAAAATATTAATAAAAAGATTTTTAGAAGTTAAAATTTCAAAAAACAAAAATTCCTTCATTTCAATTTGTGTCCTATTCTTGTTACTCAGTTTTTATACCATCTCTCAGCTAAAAAAGTCTGTTATAACTGACAGTCCTGTAGTACTTCGAGTAAGATAATTAATCGTAATACATACTCTATTGTAATAATTTTATGTACATAACAATTGACTTATCTGAGGATATCAACGGTACTTGACAGTTATTAATTCATTAAGTCTCTCACAATTCGGTAAAATGGGTATTTATGTGTACCCATATTACAGATAGAGTAAAGTACACAAAAATTAATTAGAACTTGCTACTGAGGGCTATAGAGTATTCAGTAATTTTCCCATATTCATTGCAAATTCTACATATATACAACTAGAACTAGGCAGGAAATGTTTTTTCTGTCCTGCAAAATTGTTTTTGCTATTATGAAAGTTTTCCAGTTCCGCACTGGGATGAAATTGAAACCTGTCAACAAAAAAATCCAGGGAGGGACTTCCCACAGAATAGCCACTCTCCTGGGAGAATCACACAGAGCAGAATGAGATGAGTTACCTCAGAACCTGCCTAAACCAGAGTTACCTTTGAGCTTTTGCCTGCTTAAGCCTGATCAGTCATTCCTAAACCAGAGAGTGTGAGGAGTCATCAGAGGCAATTACCTGCAAGTCTTGTGATAAGCCCCACCCCATTCTGCCAGGGGTCAGCCAACCCACAGGCAAGGACCCACCCAGGTGATCCACAGCAGGCATCTAGGCTCCTAAGGGAAGCAGTTTCTCCACCCTACTCACAGTCCCTACCTGGCTGGGAACTTTCCCCTATTGCCAATAGTTCCAACAGACTGCTCTTACTGCAGCTCGAGCCCATGCCTGTTTCCATGCTGACCAACTGCTGCTCCAGCCTGCATCTGTTCCTAAGTCAACTGGCCATCTGGGATTCGGACAGCTTGAATCTGTGTTTCTCAGGTCCCTCTGAAAATTTGGTAGAAACTAACCCTTTTGCAAGAAAAGTTTCAGTTTCAATGAACTGGCACTTCCTGGTGAAAAGCTTTTCTCAGAAACTTTTGGACTGTAATGCCCAGGGATTAGGCAGGTCAAAGTGCAGTCCAAATCAGTGGTCAGAATTCATGCAAGCAGTCCAATAGCCAGAAGATCCAATCCAAGGGAAACATACAGTGAGGTAGCTGGCAGGATCAGGGAAAGCAGGGTCAAACAGGGTCTGAGTAGCAACTAGAAGGCAATGGCTTATTACTCAAACAAGACTAGAAAGGAAGCAGGAAGTTTATATATGGTCACCAGTCAATGAGGGTCAAGATCATGTGGCCAAACAGGGTACAGGGTGCAGAACCCAGTTAGCTGGCTCACCCAACTCTGTGAATTCCTAGGTAACTGCCTGAGTCAGTGTCGTGTGAGGGCTTAGACTGCTTCCCAAGAACAACATTTCTTGAAAACAGCTATGTTTTGATCTTTCAGCATGGAAAAGCATTGATTTTTGCACTTTCTGAGTACATAAGAAAAGCCACCTATTAAATGAAATAACTCTTTTGGCATGAGTAGATTTGTACAAAAGCAAAAATAAACATGTTCCGGTAACTGGAATTTCCTTGCCAATAGCATAGATTTCCTGGAAAATGTCCTCTTATAGTACAGACAGAGTTACTATGCTTTTTCTCTGACTTAGCTAGAATGACTACCCTAACCTTCAGTTCAAGTAACCATATGAGTTCCATCTGGTGGCTGTTGTTTATTGCCTGTTGTTTATTTTTTATATTTAAAAAAATAATATGCTGCCTATATTTTAAGAGAGGAATCCCAGAAAGTTTAACCTGATGATTAAAAGAATACACGTTTTCTCTCATGAGCATGTGTAATACATGTCTCAGTAGTAGATTTAGGTATTCCACTTTGTAGCCCAGTGGTCTAGCTGGCCTTTATTATATTTTCTGCTTTGCATTATATTCAGCAGTAATGCAAGGAACCTACAGACCTGTATCCTGTAAGACATTAGCTTCAGCAAGTTAGAGTAAGGCTTGAGGCCTATGACTTTTGAACAGATAAACTTTGACAGATAAGCAGCCAATGGAAACAAGTATTGGGGAGCCAAAAATAGAGTGTTTAAGAGGAAGTTCTGATGACAGGTACATGATCCAACCATAAGAATGTCATGACAATGAGTTGACTTATATAACAGGTACATCAACTACCTAACCACAAGAGGGCCATGGTAACGAATCAACACATATGATAATAAGTTGAGATCACTGAGATACTAACCTATAGAAGAAAGACACTCCAACATTAATAAGGTAAGGAATACAAATAAAGAAAAGGGGCAAATCCCCTACAACATCCCTGTTCATCCTGGCTAATAGCCATTGATGGACCTATCCTCCATGAATTTATCTAGATCTTTTTTGAATACTGTTATAGACACTCCAACACTAATAAGGTGAGGAATACAAATAAAGAAAAGGGGCAAATCCCCTACACCATCCCTGTTCATCCTGGCTAATAGCCACTGATGGACCTATCCTCCATGAATTTATCTAGATCTTTTTTGAATACTGTTATAGTCTTGGCCTTCACAAAATCCTCTGGCAAGGAGTTCCACAGGTTGACTGTGTGTTGTGTGAAAAAATATTTCCCTTTGTTTGTTTTAAACCTTCTGCCTATTAATTTCATTTGGTGACCCCTAATTCTTGTGTCATGAGAAGGAGTAAGGACTTCCTTATTTACTTTCTCCACACCAGTCATGATTTTATAGACCTCAATCATATCCCTCCTTAGTCGTCTCTTTTCCAAGATGAAAAATCCCAATTTTATTAATTTCTCCTCATATGGCAGCCATTCCATACCCCTAATCATTTTTGTTGCTCTTTTCTGAACCTTTTCCAAGTCCAATATATCTTTTTTGAGATGGGGCAACCACATCTGCACACAGTATTCAAGATGTGAGCATACCATGGATTTATATAGAGACAATATTTTATTTTCTGTCTTATTATCTGTCCCTTTCTTAATAATTCCCAACATTCTGTTCACTTTTTTGACTGCCGCTGCACATTGAGTGGATATTTTCAGAGAACTATCCACAGTGACTCCAAGATCTATTTTTTGAGTGGTAACAGCTAATTTAGACCCCATCATTTTATATATATAGTTGGGATTATGTTTTTCAATGTGCATTACTTGGCATTTATCAACATTGAATTTCATCTGCCATTTTGTTGCCCAATCACCCAGTATTGAGAGATCCTTTTGTAGCTCTTTGAAGTCTGCCTGGGACTTAACTATGTAGAGGAATTTTGTATCATCTGCAACTTTTGCCACCTCACTGTTTACCCTTTTTTCCAGATCATTTATGAATATATTGAATAGGACTGGACCCGGTACAGACTCCTGGGGGACACCACTATTTACCTCTCTCCATTCCAAAAACTGACCATTTATTCCTACCCTTTGTTTCCTATCTTTTAACCAGTTAACAATCCATGAGAGGACCTTCCCTCTTATCCCATGACTGCTTACTTTGCTTAAAAGCCTTTGGTGAGGGACCTGAAAATGCTTCCTGAAAATCTAACTGGATTTGTCCCCTTTGTCCACATGCTTGTTGACAACCCCCGCCACCCGCTCAAAGAATTCTAGTAGATTGGTGAGGCATGATTTCCCTTTACAAAAATCAGGTTGACTCTTCCCCAACAAATTATGTTCATCTATGTGTCTGACAATTCTGTTCTTTACTATAGTTTCAACCAGTTTGCCCGGTACTGAAGTCAGGCTTACCAGCCTGTAATTGCCAGGATCACCTCTGGAAAAAAATTGGTGTCACATTAGCTATCCTCCAGTCATTGGGTACAGAAGCTGAGGGAGAAGATGATGGTAATGAGAAAGATGATGGCTAGCATTTCAGGTTGTTCTGCAAGGAATGGTGTGGGTATATGGATGTGCAGATGTACATTCTGTAGTATCTCTATCTATCTTACTGAGTTGGAGTGTTTGTGACTGTGCTAAATATATTCATAAACTATTTGTAAATACAGAGGAGTTCCTATAGTGTGAATGTTGCAACTGTGCACATCGGGGTTCCCAACTACACAATAATTTGAATAATACTGTGCATGATTTTGGGATAAGAACCTGTCAACTCTCAAAGTGATAACTAAGGATTCTTAAGTAATCAATATATACATAATCTATAGATCTATTTACAACTTCCTATCTATCACCTTTTAGAGCAGTGTGGCATGTTAGGTAAATACAGATATAGTAAACTATACAGAATGTAGACTTAAGTCGTATTACTAAACTGCATGTTCAACTATACTGTATCCCATATTGTCATGGCCAGGTGCTTCAATAACAGGAAGACTGCCTTTCAATTTATCTGGTCAGCATGGGAGCTAAGCATTCCTAAATCCATTACAGTCTGGGTCTTCTTCAGTTTGTGGAATATCTTGATTTTTCCACATAATAAGAGGGGATAGTGTAGTGTACTTGCCAGTTGTCTAACCAGTATACTTGACAATGTATATGTATGTATATTTATCAGTGTGCACCACTAATCTTGATTAGTTGCCCTACAAAGGATAAAAGCCACTAGTAGTAATTGGTAGGGATTGACTTTTAGCTCATGTGGCAGAGGCTTGCATTCTGGAGCTGGAGTGCCTGTGTTCTATTCCTCATACTTCACTTGTGTGGTATTAGCTAACAACAATAACTGTGGTTTCTGTAGATTTACTATGCCATCACATATTCATTATAACAGGATCAAAATTACATCCCACATATTTTCCTATTGCCTCCTCTTCTGTGTTACATATAGCTGGGCCTAATTATTAATTTTCTTAACTATTTTTAAATGAATTTAATGTTGGTGAAAGATGCTAGACCAATAGCACTGAAGAGTGAAGTCCTCTTTTTGTTCACAAAGGGCTAGATTCTGCAACTATTACTCATGTTGTTGGGCATTTATACTGTTAAATTCCTCCTTACAAGGCCTGTGCACCAGTTGTGTCCTGTTTAGGTATTCCAATATGGCTCCACTGGGGATCACAGGGGTTGCACAATCCCTTGTACACAGGGATAAATTTCAGCTACAAGTAGTCTTATTGACTTTAATGGGACTACTCATGAGAGTAAGTGCTCACCAACAATGTGAATATGGGTTACTCAATCTAGCCCCGGTGCAGCGCAGATGGTCAATGCAAGACTTCCTAAAACGCCCTGCTATCATGCCCTAACAAAGACCTGGAAAGACAACATTGTGAATGTGTCACAGTGATTCAGCTGCCATTCCTATTCAGTCCTGAATACTGTCAACAAATGTATGAGTGATGGGGGTGCTATAAAATGGACTGAGATTAGAGCTGTGTGAAAGTTGGAAGTCCTGTTGTGTGAAGCACTGAAAATTTGGCTTAGTTCCGAATGAGAATGAAAACTGAAAATTTGGAAATTCTCCATGAAGGGAAATTTTTGAAATTGTCTGAAATTCAGATCATTTGAAACAATGTTTGGATATCAATTTTCTTTAAAGAAATTGTATATTATAATATGTAATAGTAATAATTCAATATGTTCAGAATGAAACACTTTGATTTTTTGTTTTGAAAGGACTTCACATTTTTGTACAATACATATCATTTAACACAAAATTTAAAACACTTAAAGAAAGTCACTTCAAAAAGAAAAATCAAAACATTTCATTCTGAACGTTTTGACATTGTTGAAATATTTTCTCTTTGGTTTTCTTCCAAAACAAACTGCTGGCCAGACTGACCCAATTTCATGAAGCATTTCAGTTCTGATGGAACTGCATATTCCAACAAAATATAGTTCTGTCAAAGTTTCTCCAGTCCGATCTAACAGAGATTGGTGGTCTGTGTGAAGTGAGGTTTCAGAGTAGCAGCCGTGTTAGTCTGTATCCGCCAAAAGAAAAGGAGTACTTGTGGCACCTTAGAGACTAACTCATTTATTTGAGCATAAGCTCATCCGATAAAGTGAGCTGTAGCTCATGAAAGCTTATGCTGAAATAAGTGTGTTAGTCTCTAAGGTGCCACAAGTCCTCCTTTTCTTTTTGTGTGAAGTGAGTTGCTAAAGACTTGCTGTATTTGAGCTGCATTTGGAAAGGTGCCCAAAAGATGAAGTACTCTATATCCCATCACCAATCTACTGGACTGTCCCAGTTCCCCTGAACTGCAACTTCCAATGCACTGAGATTTGAAAGTTGGGCTTGTCTTCACTACTGCATCGATGCAGCGGTGTTGATTTAGCGAGTCTGGTGAAGATGCGCTATGCTGACAGGAGAGCACTCTCTCGTCGACATAATTACTCCACCTTAATGAGAGGCAGAAGCTATGTCAATGGGAGAGCATCTCCCACCAACACAGCATGGTGTAGACAGCACTTTAAGTTGATGTAAGTTACTCACAGACTCGTAGACTTTAAGGTCAGAAGGGACCATTATGATCATCTCGTCTTACCTCCTGCACAACGCAGGCCATAGAATCTTACCCACCGACTGCTGTAATAAACCTTTCACCTATGTCTGAGCTATTGAAGTCCTCAAATATGGTTTAGAGACTTCAAGGTGCAGAGAATCCTCCAGCAAGTGACCCATGCCCCACGCTGCAGGGGAAGGCGAAAAACCCCCAGGGCCTCTGCCAATCTGCGTTGGAGGAAAATTCCTTCCCGACCCCAAATATGGTGATCATCTGAACTCTGAGCATGTGGGGAAGACTCACCAGCCACATACCCAAGAAAGAATTCTCTGTAGTAACTCAGATACCACCCCATCTAACATCCCATCACAGGCCATTGGGCCTATTTACCACTGATAGCCCAAGATCAATTAATTACCAAAATCATGTTACCCCATCATACATTGCTCATGGGGGGAGTGGGAAGTTCACACCTCAGAGGAAAGTAAATTACATTGACTTAAGCTGTAACATGGACAAAGTGGAGAATTAAGAAGCTTTTTCATATGAAGGGTCGGAATGAGGTGTTGCCTCATTCCCTTTAGAAACTTACATGGTTAAATGCTCATCTCACTGATCCAGGAACTCTTTCACTGAAATAAGTCAAAGTGCAACTGTGAACTGCACAGCTGAAGTAGAGTCCATTTTCCAGGGCTCAGGTTGCACAGGTCTAAGATAGATCCCTTCTTTTTGAACTGAAGTGGTCAGAACATCATTCCCATGCAAAATCTGTGCCTCAGAATGCCATGTCAGTATTACTCACACTTGGAAGCACAGATGAATTACTTTAGCTTTCACCTGCCTAATTCTGCTCTTTTCTGTCTTTCATATTCCTTCCTATTTGATATATGCTATACACACTATGTATCATCATTAGAAAGTGTCACTCCATCTTCACCCCTTCATTTTTTATGACTACTCGTCTCTCGGTAGGTCTCATTATTCTTGCTTTCCTAGACGAAGGGTGCGTATTGAAATAAGGAATAATTGGAGAGGGCTGCATGTACATATGGTTTATGTTTGCAACGTGACATACATGCAAGCTGATATAGTCCTAATTGAACTCAAGTGTGTAGGGAGCCAGATACATGTCAGGTAATGAGCCTCTCGATTTTAGATCACAGGCTAAGCACATCTATTATTTTTACAGCTGTGGAAAAAAATTATCCTTAAGCCAAAACTACCAAATGCCCCTGAATGTTATTGCTAGTCAGAGAAACACATTTTTGGCCTCTGGCAAATTTTGGAGAATGATAGAATAAGCAAAAAGGTGGTAATAGGTGGGAGGTTGCCACTAAAAGACAATGTTCTCCATGTAGGCATCACAGAGCAGCTGAAATTAAAGTATGACAAGAGCCAAGTGGTCTCTTTCAAGCAACAGTAGATATCTGTTGGAGGTAACATCTCCCTTTTCCTTCAGTTGCAAATTTTGTTTAGTACTGGCAGTTGTAGCAACAGCCTGTCCGCTCTCCCTACTGCTGTTTCTCCCTGAGCTGCCCTAGCTGTTTGACATTCTAAAACTGAGGAGAGACTTAATGGTGGGGTCCAAAAATATCTAAAGCAAGAAGAGTATTTAAAAGATGAAGACGAGCCTCTCCTTCAACTTGATCCTCCATACTGGTGAAAGGTAGGTCAGTGGAAACAGCTTGCTCTTGTTCAGATACCTATCTGAGAATTTCTCCATCTGCCCTTGCTGCAAAAATTATCTCAGTGAAGGAGAAGATATGAGGACAGAGTAGAAGAGGAAATAATCAACAGAAACAGGATATAAAAATTACAAAAGGAAATGAAATGTGAAGGTTTTTTATTTGACTTAAGGAAAGTCTGTAAAAAATGCATATTTTCTTATTTCTGTGAGGAGAGACCATGGAAGGGGAGAGAAAAATAATTGTGGAAAAAGAGGGGAAAATATTAAACTCTTTGAAATGGGATTCTATATAGCAAATTCCCCGAACATTTCTTTCTAAATGATAGATCCATAACCAGGGGCAAGTCTCACAGCATTAGCATCCTACCTCCCAAGGCAATTGCCTTATTCCTGTCTTTCAGTTCAGGATCTAGCCATGAATGTGATAAGTTCAAGAGTGTGATCACAGCAAGTGTTCTGATGGCTTAAAACCAAGTGCTGTAAGTACTTCTGCTGCTGCTCTGACTCTCCCTCCCTTGAGCTACTTTCACCCATTGAAGTCTATGAACTGTTACCTGGCTTTGCTGGCTTTTCTTCTTTTTTGACTTCAGGTTCTAAGAAAAATATTGATAAAGGTTTTTAGAAGTTAAAATTACAAAAACAAAAATTCATCCTTTTCAATTTGTGTCCTGTTTTTGTTACTCAGTTTTTATACCATCTCTCAGCTAAAAAAGTCTGTTATTACTGACAGTCCTGCAGTGATTCAAGTAAGTTAATTAATAGTAATACATACTCTATTGTAATAATTGTATGTACTTATCAGTTGACTTATCTGAGGATGTCAACAGTGCTTTACAGTTAATTCATTAAATCTCACACAATTCTGTAAAATGGGTATTATTTATTTATACCCATATTACAGATAGAGTAAAGTATACAGAAGTTAATTAGAACTTGCTACTGAGGGTTTTCAGTAAATTTCCCATATTCATTGCAAATTCTACGTACCTACAACTAGAAGTAGGGAAGAAATGGTTTTTCTGCCTGCAATGTTATTCGCTATTTTAAAAGTTTTCCAATTCTGAATTGGAATGAAATTGAAACCTGCCAATAACAACAACAAAAAAGGGAGAGCCCTTCCCACAGAATAACAACTCCCCCTTTTATTTTTTGGTTTGCAAATATTTTTGTGATTTTTGACTTTTCATCCTGATTCAAGATGGAAAAAACATTTCAAAATCTCAAAACGATTTACAGGATGGAAAACCATTTTCTACGCAGCTCTAAATTAAAGTTCTCTCAAGAAACTGATAGGATCATCTCATCAAACTAACTAGCTTAATCTTCAGGGGAAGTTATTCTTCCACAGACATTAGTTCATATATTTAGAGCATTATATTTGGCATTACCTATAATCCATTTTACCCACAGTTTTTAACCAGAAACTGTTTACTCTCTTGAGGCATGAACCTAAAAACCAGATCCTCAGCACAGCTACACAGAAGGCAATGGAGCAATGGTAATTTACCACAGCTGGGAATCTGTCACATAGTGCAGATGGGTGAACCAGATCACAGAAGGAAGCGAGGAAGAGAAAAAGCAAACATCACTGTCCAAAAACTCAAGTGAACTAAATAACATACTATTTTAAGCTCAACATCGGTGCAGATAAATACCCTCTAACCAATCTTCAACATCCAACAACCTATGCTAATATTCTGAAGTCTACTTTGGGTTTCCAAGCAGGCATTAATGTCTCTGCTAGACTGGCAGCTACCTTCAAATCTCTTTGGGCTGGACTTAGGTGGCTAGAGAAGCATGATGTATCTTGTAATGCCACTGATCAGCTGAAACCCCATAATGTATGATATATGACGACAGCAGCCAGCCCTAGACTATTAGATATGCCAAGACCCTGGAGCAGACTGTGTGTATATCTGAAAAAATATCCTGTTAATCTATTGGCTACTGCGTGGGAAGCTGGGCAAGAATTGAGAAACAGCATCCTTATTAATAATGTACAGGAGTTACTAGGCCAGGCTGGAGGATTAGCTCGTGATCACTGTGTTTGGAGGTGGAATGCCGGCGAGGGTTCTGGAAGCTGAAGTCACTACCAAGTCAGAATAAATGTATCCGCCAGGTTCAAGGCTTTTGAGAGTCAGACGATTCAGAGCTTTGGTTCAATCTGTGAGCACAATGACCTTTGTACATATGTGATCTTATATCCACTCCTATTGTGTATTATACTCACCTACTTTGTTTTAAGATTAGAATTCCTTTGGGGGTAAAACCAGCCTAGCAGACTCTGGTCCTGATTCTGATTTGGGCCTCTAGGCACTATTGTAATACAAATAAGTGCTAATGAATTAATGGAGAATATGGTTGAATCTAAGTGGAAGAGAGAAGGATGGAAAAAGGAGGGATGGATGTGTTGAGGTGGAAGAGAAATGTTTGCATAAATTCAAATTAGTTTCAGATAAGCATCTGAAGTTTGGAGGATTTTTCTGAATTGAATCTCTGACTCTTCTGAGTTGGGGTCTGTCTGGCTATGCATTTAATGCACTGCATGCATTTACACCAGTGCAAAACTAATGCAAAATTGGGGTACAATCTTTTACATCCACTAGACCAGGTCCATGAGTCTGGCTGAGCAGCACTCAGGACAGGGCTAGAGGGGAAGGGACAAAATTGGCTGTATGCCACTTTTGCACTCCATTCCCAATATCTGTGGCTGGGAGATAATGAATGAATCATAGAATCATAGAACATCAGGGTTGGAAGGGACCTCAGGAGGTCATCTATTAATGCAAAGCTCAATCAGCCTTTGGCCCAATTCAGTGCAGCCTTAGCTATGTCTCTAAGCTATATCACCAGGTAATGTCCCTCTGTCCCAAGGGACCATTATTAGAGCCAGACATATCCCAGATATAGAAGATATAAGCTACCTGAATATTCCTCTGTATAAGAAAAATGTTTGTGTAGCAGGGAAAGCTGGTTATAGGGCTGCTTAGTGCTGCTGGTGTAGTGTAAAGTAGCCTTATGGAGGGTGGCACAATGTGGTCCAGTTTCTATTCACTTTGCTTGAATGTAACTGACTGCACACATTTTGAAGCATTGGAAATCAGGCTCTTGCCTTTCAGAAAATAGTCATTACTGTTGATTTTATTCCCTCCTCCGCCCCTCCCCCCCCACCCCGCAAAGATGGGGTATCATATAGTAAAAACCTTGTTTGTTATCACAATTACCACAGATATTTCCTAGTCTAAATATAGAGTGAAAAACTGTTGTACTACCAAGATGTGGTATCTGTTTGCAAATGCTATATTTTAACAGTGACCAGTATATAAGGGAATCAACTTTTTTTTCTCTGATGATACGTACTGTAAATGCTCTACAAATCTCATGAGGCAGAAGAGACCTCATGCTGAGTACCATTGCCAATAGCATTGCTCTGACCAAATGCTCTCACTTAAACTTATAATGACAAGGAATAATGACAGAGTGCACAAAGACCATAATTCCAGAAGCTGAGCAATGCGTTTGTATCTTTTAAGAAATGGATGGATTATCTAGGGAATTTGGTCTACACCGGATAAAAGCCAGCTTAATTTCTGAGAGCAAATGTGGGATAATACGTCTTTTCTGAACATGAAATTAGGGCAGGGGAGGGAATTAAATAAAGCAGAATAATGAATTGGGCAATACAAAACCTTTACCAGAAATGCTGTTGCCTGTTTTTATTCTTCCTTGATAAGACTATTTTGAGGAAGAAAATCCTGAGTTTAACTGTATCTAGCAAGCCCCATATATATCACACAGGAGTAAGTAGAGATGGGGTAAGGAATCTTTCAATCCTAGCATCTCCAGCAGATCACCAATCATTCACTCCTCTTCCAAAACCATACAACTTGCTTATCATTCCTCCATTGATGGAAATACAAACAGAACCAGTTAATTTAGACTGGATACAAAAGAAGGTAAACTTTATATAAGAGCACACATTCTATTCTCAAGGCTCCCTAATCTACATGCATGTCTAGCATGTACCACTCAGGAGCAAAAAACATAGGACTCCCCTCCTGTATTTCTTAGGAACATGGGAATTTTCATACTGGATCAGATTCAAGGTCTATCTAGTCCTGTATCCTGTCAGTACCAGAGACTTCAGAGGAAAGTATAAGAAATCCACAGTAGGTAGATGTGGGATAATTTACCTCTACCTCTAACATAAATCCCATCTTGATCTCTAATATTTAGAGATTGGCTTAAGCCGTGAAGCATAAATTTAATAATCTTCCAAAAATTTGTTTTAATTAATTATGAAAATTCTGGATATTCTTGATATCTGCATAAGTATCCAATCCCTTTGTGAATATTTTTAAGTTATTGGTTTCCTGCAGAAATGAGTTCTCAGGTTTACTTACATGTTTCATAAAAAAGTATCAGTTTTGAATTTCCCAACTTTTACTTTCATTGAATATCCCCTTGTTCTCATGTTATGAGACATGAAGAACAGAAGTTCCTGGTCTCAATTCTCTATATCATTCATTATTTCATATACTTTTACCATGCCCCCTCTTGTTCATTTCCTTTCTCTGATTCATTTCCTTTCTGTCTTCACAGGAAGGTGTTTCTTCCCTTCCTCTCACTCTCTCTGAACCCCATTTAGGTCAGCACTGTCCTTTTTGAGATGCAGTGATGAGTACTGCATACAGTATTCCAGATGAGGCTGCACCATTGGATTTATTCAAAGACATTGTTATACACTTTATAGTATTCACCATTCCATCCCTATGCATCCTAGCATTTTGTTTGCCTTTTGACTGCAGTTACACATTGAGCAGAGGTCTTCACCAAGCTGTCTATAAATGATGCATGGGTCCCTTTCTTCAACTGATAGAATTAATCTAGAACCCTGTATATGAATATTTTAATACAGCATGCTGTAGTATGGCCTAGAGGATAGTGCCAAGGACTAGGGATCTGGGTTCTATTCCCAGTTCTGCCACAAGCCTGCTGAGTGATCTTGGGCAAGTCACTTTTCCCACTGGGTGCTTCAGCTTCCCTATTTGTAAAATAAGGATGATGAGACCTCCTTTTGGAAAGCACTTTGAAATCTATTGCTGAAAAGTGCCATGTAAGAGCCAGGAATTACTATCGTTTTCCCTCCAATGTGCATTAGGATGAATTTCATTTGCCATCATGTTGCCCATTCATGCAGCTTGTTTACATCTCTCTGAAGTTCCCCAAAGTCTGTTCTGGTGCTGACTAACCTAAATAACTTTCATCAGCAAGTTTTGCTACATCATTACTCATGCCCATTTCAGATCATTAATATTTATCAACATGGGATTTAATACAGAACCAAGGAGCATCCTGCAGTTAACCTCTGGTTATGATAAAAACTGACCATTTACTCCTACTCTTTGCTTTCTGTTTCTGAACCTGTTTTTGATCCATGACAATGCATTTTATGGCTAAGGAAGTCATTGTGGTGCATTACATAACCTGACTGTCCTATTCTGATCATTTAAAAGATCCAGCTGCCACTGCCAGATATACAGAGCTAAATTTTGTACCCTGGAGTAGAACATGAAAAGAAATGAGCCTGTGC